ACCTGCTGGGCTCTGGCAATCCTTCCACCTCAGCCTTCCAAGTAGCCAGAATTACAGGCATGCGCTACCATGCCTGGCTGGTTTTTTGATTTATTGTAGAGATGAGGTCTCACTGCCCAGGCAGGTCTCGAACCCGCGGGCTCAGGCAATCCATTTACTTCAGCCTCCCAAAGGCGTGGGATTACAGGCTGAGCCACTGAGCCCGGCTGCAACCCATACTTAAATAGTGGGGGGATATGGTCCCCACTCCTGGAGGACCGTCTATATAAACTTACTTGGATTAGGAATTATTTTAAATGAAAGATCTGTCTTTTCTCTCCCATTCATTTATTTTTTTATTTAATCATTTATTTACAGGACTGTGGGATCATGAATACTTTATACTTAGGGTTATAATCCAATACTATTTAATTTTTTGTCCTCAAATTGCTTTAGAAGCTTCAACCATTGGGAGCTCTTTCAGCTGACTGCTATATCCCTTGGACATACTCCCATCATTGGTGAGGGGTGCGGTTCTATTGTTACTTGGATCATTTTCTTATTTATTGATATTATAAGATACACCAGGTTTATCTTGTATCTTTTCTGACTCAATCTTAGAATCAGCTGTTTCTCCAAGGAGGCTTTTGTTCATTTTATTGGAGAATAGAATTAGAAACCAAGGTCTGGCTGCTGGATGTGCTCATTGCTCCTAGATGCTATTTGGTTTTAGTTTGGTGTGAAAGGCCTTCTGCTACTGTTCATACCCCTATACCTTAATGGGTGTGAACCACTATTATTTGTCTTTCCTGCTCTGAGAAATAGCTCCTGAAAACCAAATACTGTTTTGTATGCTTTCCACAAATTCTATCATTTAATTCTCAGAGGTAGGAACTTTTATTATCTTCATTTGAGGATAATATCTAGATGGCCAAATATCACAGATTATAGAAGTTATAAAACTTCAAGGTAGGTCTAGGACTGTGGTAAAGTGTTGATTATCTCTGGTGGTAGGAGACTCAAAAGCAACAGGATAGAGGGACCCTTAAGCGGGCGCTGTTAACTGAGCGCTAGGAAGAGCAGTGACTGAGGAGAGAACAAAAAGCCCTGAAAATGTGCTGCTTCTCAGCCATTCCTGTTTGGTGGCATTGTTTGGTATGTGTTTCAGCTCTCTGGCATAGCAGTCAAGCTATTATTTTCCAAATCCAGTTTCACAGCTTCTTGTATTGTTGACTCTAAGTTTTCTGTCACACAATTGGTCTGTCTTCTCTAAAGGCATAAGCTGTGACATTTTTTTCCCTCAGAAATATCTGTGACCCATGTGAGCATAAAAAGAGTCTGGAATAGTAAATCCCTCCTGCTCACAGTGATCTCCCCCCTGTGAAGTAGGATTGAGTCAGGCTCTGATTCTTGTGGAGCTTTGGTGATAATTGCATAATACATTTGAAATATTAAAGTTGATAAGAGGTTCCCAGAAATATTTTTTGTTTCTTTTTTCTTGAGATACACTATTCCTTGTATTTGTTCTTTCTTGAATTCCTAACACCTAGAACAATGTCTGGTGCTTAATAGGTGCTTGATAAATACTTGTTAAATGGAAAGAATGATTGTTTGTCACATCATAGATGTGCCAACTGCTTTGACTGTCCTGGCTGCATGCACACCCTGTCCACCCGGGCCACAAGCATCTCCACACAGCTTCCAGATGACCCAGCCAAGACCACCATGAAGAAAGCCTATTACCTGGCCTGTGGGTTTTGCCGCTGGACATCAAGAGATGTGGGCATGGCAGACAAATCTGTAGGTGAGTGAGGCGGACTTCAACATGAGTTTCTGTGCAATTGACAGTGCTAATGCCTATAGGTGATTATTCCTGTTGGGATGGTGGGAACTAAATTCAAAATATTTTGTCATTCGATCTTCTGTGTTCCCATATTCTCACTTTTATAGACCATAGTGTTTCATCTGAGACTGGGTGATACTGTTTAGTTTTCTTAGAGTTGGTAAAGTAGCTTTTATAAATCTACTTTCTTAGAGTCTAAATATTAATGCTCTTAATAAAAAACAAACATTCCTGATATTAAAACACCATGGGCAAAATTAAAAGATAAAGTGCCAAACTAAGAAAAATAGTTAGATCATATATGACAAACGAAAGATGAATAATCAAAAATGAGGAACCCTTAAAATCAATAAGAAAATGACTCACAGAAAAACAGCTGGGTGTAGTGGCTCACACCTGTAATCCTAGCACTTTGAGAAGCTGAGGTAGAAGGATTGCTTGAGCCCAGTAGTTAGAGAGCAGCATAGTGAGACCTGATCTCCACAAAAACCACACAAAAAGAAAGAAAATCAGGCAAAAGGTATGAACAGTAGCTGTCATAAATAGAAGTAAAAGTGATCACTAAGTATGCAAAAAAGATATGTTCAACTTACTAGTAGTTATGTTTTCAATGTAAATTAAAACTTTATGGCCAAGCACGGTGACTCAGCCTGTAATCCCAGCACTTTGGGAGGCCGAGGCTAGTGGAGTACCCAAGCCCACGGGTTCTAGACCAGCCTGGGCAGCTTGGCGAGCCCTCATCTCTACAATGAATCAAAAATTAGCTGGGCGTGGTAGCGTGTGCCTGTATTCCAGCTACTTGGAAGGCTAAGGTGGAAGGATCACCGTAACCCAGCAGGTCGACTCTGGGGTGGCCATGAGTGTGCCACCACTGTATTCCAGCCTGGGTGACCGGGTGAGACTCCAACTCAAAAAAACAAAAACAAAACTTCATGTATTTGGCAAACCATTGTAAATCTGGTTGTATCAAATGTTGGCTAGAACATGGGAAAATAGTCCTCTTATGCATTACCATATTAGAGAGCGATTTGAAAGCGTCTGTTAAGATTTTAAATTGCTTTTATCCTTCTGCCTAGAAATTCCATGTCCAAATATCTATCCTGGGGCATATGCTCAAAGACTTTTATAAATATATTTAAAATGTTTATCAATGAAATAGAAAAGTATGTGTGTTTGGATTAAAAGACCACCTAAGGTATTTATCCCTCCATCATTTGAGTGTTTCAGAATAGAGATTGCACTTACCTCTACCAGGAAACTGTCTATTTTTACAAACTCTATACTCCGTGGTTAAAATCAGAGTGGAAACATTCTCCAGTCACTTCAGAATCTTGAGTTCCTTTCAATGCAAATGACTCAAAGTAAATAAAAAATAGAATCTTGAGTTGCTATATATACTTTATATAAATAGTAGCGCCACTAACTCCTCATTGTCTTTTTCATTTTTGAAATTTCATTGTTTAATTTTCTGAAAACTTTAGTCTTGTAAAAATTCCCATTTTTTAATTTTCATAAAAATTATAGGTTATTAACAAATAAATGCAGAAACCCATAACAAACTTATTATATGTCATTTAACATAACTAAAATGAAGACAGACTTTAGCTAAAACCTTACTATAGATCCTTAAACAATTTGGAAGTAAATATGGGTAAAGTTTCTTTAGAGTGTCTGTTAAAAAGTTAATCCTCGATTCTGTTGGGTTTGTCCTTTGGTTTAGAATGCGTGAACTCTTGTTTTTCTGGCTTTGTACATTGAGTTGATAAAGTACATACTCTTCAAAAACAAAAAGTAAACAAATGTATTTTAGTTCCTTAGAAATGCTCATTGGTAAGTAGACACCTGAAATGTGATTTATGTTAGACAGATTCTGTAGCATCTTTGTAGATTGCCAGTAAATATACACTCACGGCCACCCAGCTGGGCTCCAGCGATCCTTCCACCTCAGCCTTCCAAGTAGCTGGAACTATAGGTGCGGGCTACTGCACCCAGCTAATCTTTGATTCTATTATAGAGACGAAGTCTCACCAAGTTGCCTGTGCTAGTCTCCACCCTGAGGGCTCAGGCAGTCCGCTTGCCTCAGTCTCCCAAAGTGCTGGAATTACAGGCTAAGCCACTGAGCCAGGCCTGTGTGTATGTTTTAATGTCAGTATAGAGGGTAAGTTGTTAGAATTTGTCAAAGAATGTCTGTTAAATGTTTAAAACAACCTCAAAGTGACATAGTATATGCCTCAGTGAGTTAAAATAGTATTTCTCCATGTTTGCGTTTTGTTTCTTTTTATCAAGTAACAAAGCTCAGAAATCCAAATAGATTTCTCAGTTTGTTGCTCTGTTAGTGAATGTTTTATACTTTTTGGGTTATGAATCATTAGGAATGGAAAATTTATATTTCAGAACTTAAAAACTTGTGCTAGCTTCTAGAGCTCTGTCTCCTCTAGGGCATCTTGATAGTGGTAATTGAATACCAGGAGCTCTTATAAAGAGTACAGATAATTTCATTTCCTCCATGATGTCATTGGTGTCTAAGAAGCCCTGGAACCACTTAAGTTAGAACTGTTTGCTTATTTATAAGTACTTGTCCATAATGTACAGAGAAAAACTTGTAATGAGATCATTATGTCTCCCAAATTGCTATTTAGAATAAATTACCAGTTCTAAAGAAGCAATTAGACAAAGCATTCAGACTTTTAAAATTATTGCAACAGAAACATTTCTTTCACATAATTATTTATTTTTCATGATTACCTTAAATAAGGCAACCTTGAAAATATTATGCTGAAGTGCTATTTCTACCATTTCCTGTAAAAGAATACAGTGTCACCTTCAGCGAGGTAATTAAGTCCTTTTTGTTTTGAAAAAAGTTATTTTTATGTATATAAATAACATATGTACTTATCACCCAGCTTATGAAATGAAGCATAACCAGAACAGTTTAAACCCTGTGTTCCCTTCCCTCCGCTGTATCCTTCTTTCTTTCTTACTCCCAGAGGTAATCATCACAGTCCTACATTCGATGTTGATTAATACCCATGTGTGTCTTCCGACATCTCCACATATGTGTGTCGCTACTAACAAATGCTAGTTTTCAGTTTTAAGCAAATGGAAACATATTGTGTGTATCCTGCTGTGGCTTTATCAACGTTATGTTTGTGATACATAGTGGTTTCGTACATCACTTACCACAGTTCACCATTCAGTCTTCTCTTAGTGGACATTTAAGTTTTTCATTTTTTTGCTTTTGAAAACAGTACTGCTAGACACATTCTTTATGTGTTTCCTAGGGCACAAGAGTAAGGGCTTCTCTGCATAACTAGAAATAAAATTTCCAGGCATAAGTTATGTACATCCCTAGCTCTCTAAAAATAGTTTACCAATTTTTGCTCCTCTGTAATACATAAGACTACCCATGGCTCCAGATCCTTGACAGCTCTGACTATTTTTAGACTCTAAAGTTTCTCCAAACTGATGGTTGTGAAATGATCTCTCATTACAGCTCATTTTTTACCTTTGTTTGATTAGCTTTATTGAGATATAATTTATATATGATAAACTCACCGGTTTTAATTCTTTGCATTCGGATATCCCCTCTGAAGGGCATTGTAAATCTAGCACCGCTTAGGTGTCCCCTCTCAGGGATCATAAAGAGATTGCTGGTGATTATACAGGACAGACTTATGAAAGTGCAAATTTTTCAAAAATACATGTTTCCTTGAAGCTTTCCATTCCAAATGCAAGCCGGGCTCGGTGGCTCAGCCTGTAATCCCGCACCTTGGGAGGCTGAGGTGAGTGGATTGCCTGAACCCGCGGGTTCGAGACCTGCCTGGGCAACTTGGTGAGACCTCATCTCTACAATAAATAAAAAAATTAGCCGGGTGTGGTAGCGCATGCCTGTAGTTCCAGCTACTTGGAAGGCTGAGGCGGAAGGATCTGCCGGAGCCCAGCAGGTCGAGGCTGTGGTGGCCGGGAGCGGCCACTGCAATCCAGTCTGGGCGACAGAGTGAGACTCCAATTCAAAAAAAAAAAAGGAACATACAGAATCATTCCAAATGCAAACAAAAGCAAATTAAGAAATGGAATATGTACTGAGATATGATCCATCAGTTGTGAAGTGGTTTTCAGGAATCACGAGTGCATCCTTCCATATCTTCTGCAAACAACAGACTGGACAGTAAATGACATATTATTAATGTGGAGGAAGAAAATGAGACTGCATTATCTGCTTGAATAGAAAAATACTAGGTAAAAGTTGTCAAACAAATTACTATTGCATAACATGTGACAATGAACCTGCAATGCATATTGGTGACTGTTTCACATGTTACCACATTTGGAAAAATATAAGATACAAAATTTTTATTTGCTTGTCATCAGTAAGTTCCTCAATGTCCAAAATTCCATTTTAAGCCAAATATCATTACAATAAAATAATTGGTTCCAGTGTTATACCATTTAATATGAAGTGATTTGTTTTTCACGATTTCATGAAAAAATTTCGTCGTGTTGCTGGTAGGTGATCCACAAGATGTTTCTAAGTACAGAGGGTTAAGTGTAGAATTCTGTGATATTTGACAAATGTACCCTAGTCTTGTAGCCACTACCATAACCACAATATACAATATTTTCATCACTCAAAGCTTCCTCATGCCCCTCTGCAGTCAGTTTCTTCCCCCCATCTCCTGGTGCCTGGCTGCACTGATAATTTTGCCTTTTCTAGAAGTTTAAATAGCTCTTTGTCTAGCCCTTTGTTTAACTTCTTTTACATAGCATAATACTTTTGAGGCTCAGCCATGTTTCTGCTTTATATTATTTCTTTTAATTGTTTGGTTGTGTTTTCTTTTTATTGTTATTTTATTCTGTTGTATGGATTATTATACCATAGTTTGTTTATTCACGCTCCAGTTGATGGATATTTGGGTTGTTTTGGGCTTTGGTTTATATGAATAAAGCTGTAATGAACATTTGCCTCCAAGTCCTTGTGCGAATGTATGTTTTTGTTTTTCTTGAGTAAGTACCAAGGAGTGGTACTTACTGGATCATATGGTAAGGGTGTGTTTAACTTGACTAGAAGCTGCAGACTATCTTCCAAAGTGACTGGGCAACTGTGGATTCTCCTCAGCAAAGTAGGAGAGTTCTAGTCCCTTGACAGTCCTTGATGTTGTGTGTCTTCTTCATCTGAGGCATTCTAGCATGTGTACAGTGATGCTTTTTGGTTTTACTTTGCATTTTCTCATAGTACTTATTTGTATTCATGTATCTTCTTTGGAGAAGTGTCTATACAATCTTTTCCCTGGCTTTTTTTTTTGAGTTGGAGTCTAACTCTGTTGCCCAGGCTGGAGTGCTGTGGCACACTCACAGCCACTCCAGCATCAACCTGCTGTGCTTCGGCAATTCTTCCACCTCAGCTTTCCAAGTAGCTTTCCGGGCGCTACCACGCCCGGCTAATTTTTTAAAATTTATTGTAAAGATGAGGTCTCACCAGGTTGTCCAGGTTGGTCTCGAACCTCGAGCCTGCGGGCTCAGGCAATCCACTCGCCTCGGCCTCCCAGAGTGCTGAGATTACAGGCTGAGCCACCAAACTTCGCCTTTTTTAAATTAAATTAAATTTTTTTTTTTTAGTAGGAATCTCAGTGTGTCACCCAGGCTGGAAAGCAATGGCACACTCACGGCCACTGCAGCCTCAACCTGCTGGGCTCAGGTGATTCTTCCACCTCAGCCTTCTAAGTAGCTGGAACTACAGGCGTGTGCCTCCACGCCTGACTGATTTTTTTATTTATTGTAGAGATGAGGTCTCACCAAGTTGCCCAGGCTGGTTTTGAACCCCTGAGCTCAGGCATTTTTTCCTTGTTTCTGCCTCCCAAAGGGCTGGGATTATAGGCATGAGCCACCATACCTGACTTTTTCCCTGTTTGTTTTTTGGGGGGTTTTTTTGAGTTTGAGTCTCACTCTGACACCTAGGCTGGTGTGCAGTGGCACACTCATGGTCACCACAGCCTCTACCTTCTGGGCTCAGGCGATCCTTCCACGTCAGCCTTCCAAGTAGCTGGAACTATAGGGGCATGCTATCACACCCAGCTAATTTTTTGATATATTGTAGAGACGAGATCTCACCAACTTACTCAGCCTCGTCTCGAATCCCTTGGCTCAGGTAATCCTCTTGCCTCGGCCTCCCAATGTGCTGGGATTACAGGATTGAGCCATGGTGCTCGGCCTTCCCTGTTTTTTTAACTGGGTTTTGTTGGTTGGTTTGATTTGGTTTTTTTATTTTTTATTATTATTTTTTTTTGAGTTGGAGTCTCACTCGGTCGCCCAGACTGGAGTGCAGTGGCCGCTCCCAGCTACCGCAGCCTCGACCTGCTGGGCTCCGGCGATCCTTCCGCCTCAGCCTTCCGAGTAGCTGGAACTACAGGCGTGCGCTACCACGCCCGGCTAATTTTTTGATTTATTGTAGAGATGAGGTCTCACCAAGTTGCCCGGGCGGGTCTCGAACCCGCGGGCTCAGGCAATCCGCTTACCTCAGCCTCCCAAAGGCACGGGATTACAGGCTGAGCCACTGAGCCTGGCTTGATTTGATTTTTTCAATTGAGCTATAGGAATTCTGTATTCTAGATACAAGTCCTTTGTTGAATATATGTTTTGTAAATATTTTCTCCTAGTCTGTGACTGGCCTTCTTATTTTCTCAATAGTGTCTGTTGAAAAACACAAGTTTCTAATTTTAATATAGTCCATTTTATCAATTTTTACTTTTATAGTTGTGCTTTTTGTGTCCTGTTGAAGAAACGTTAGCCTAACTCTGTGTCAGTAAAATTTACACCTATGTTTTCTTCTAGAAGTGCTGTAGTTTTAGCTTTTTTAAGTCTGTTGCCCATTTCAGGTGAATTTGTGTCTGTTGTGAGATATAAGGGTGAAGATTATTTTTTTTTAGATGTATATGTCGCTGTCCCACTGATGCAGCCCTGTTTGTTTAAAATATTCATGAGAATTTTACATTCAGCTTTCTTAAATAGTCTTTTCCTTTATGTCTAGTGCCGTGTCTGTCTTACATAAGAAATTCTCTGACCCAAGATCATTGAATACAGAAATTGCATGGTGTTGCAGATGAGAGCAGGGTCTCTGGGCTATTTTAGATTGTTTGCCTGACTTTGAATCCTGTCTCTACCACTTGGCTTTGAGTGAGTTATTTGACATCTCTGAGCCTCAGTTTCTTCATCTGTAAGATAGGACTAATAATTAGAGTCCTTACCTCACAGGGTTTTTATAAGAATAAAAAGAAATGTAACACATTTCAAGTACCTGCACAGAGACTGTGTGTTAGTGGTGGTGGTGGTGGTGGTCATTATCACCATCATTACATTTTTTAAAAATTGTATTCTGAGCATTCTGATCTATGTAACTTTTGTAATTCTTTCTTGTAAGTACTGTGATTTTATGTTTTAAGTTTAATTTTATGGCCTATAGATGACCTGGTTTTTGAAAATCAAATTATGAAAGTTTGTTTAATGTTCTTTTATTTTGTAGCTAGTGGTGGTTGGCAAGAACCTGAAAATCCTCACACACAACGGGTAAGTAAAGGATCATCAGAGGGAGGATGAAAAAAGATGGAATAGAGATCTTCCGTTTTATCAGGGGACACGTGGCCTGCACTTTAGAAGTTCATGCTGTATATTTTGGGATCTATTGTACTTAGAAAGTGCTTCTCATTATAAGACATTAAATCACAGTGTCACTTTTTTCCAGTTTACTTAAGTTAATGGAGAGACCTACATATAGTTTTAGTTTATATTCAAGTTTATATATCAGGAAAAGGAAACAGGGTGGTTTTTTTTTCTTCACACATGCTTCAGTGAGTTAAAGTTCATTTGTTAAGAATACTCTTGGAAATATCATAAACATATAGACATTTTAACTCCTGGAAACACCACTGATTTAGAAGATGCCCTTGGACTCAGACATGATTGCTTATAGTAGTGGTCCCCAACCTTTTTGGCATCAGGGACTGGTTTCATGGAAGACAATTTTTCCATGAATGGAGGGAGTATGGCTTTAAGATGTTCAAGCACATAACAGTTATTGTGCACTTTAAAAAATTATTATTACATTATAATATATAGTGAAGTAATTATATAACTCACCATTAAAAAAAGAGAGTGACATGAAGGAAAGTAGTAAATAAAATAATGGGCAGGCTACGTATGGACTAAAATAAGTGTCGAATTCTGTCTTAAAGCCTGCCACCAGATGTAGCTATACAGTTGAAACAGATCAACTCACTTGCCACTCACTGATAGAGTTTTGACATGAGTCTGTGAGTAATTGATTTATTATGGTCTCTGTGCAGTCAGACCTCACAGAGGCTAATGTTAATCTGTACTTGCAGCCACTCCCCAGCACTCACATCACCACCTCAGTTCCACCTCAGATCATCAGGCATTAGAGTCTCTTAAGGAGTGTGCAGCCTAGATCCCTCACATGCCCCATTCACAATAGGATTCGTGCTCCTATGAGAATCTAATGCTGCCACTGATCTGACAGGTGGAGCTGAGGTGGTAACGAGAGCGATGGAGAGTGGCTATAAATACAGTTGAAGCTTTGATTGCTCTCCTGCCACTCACCTCCTACTAGGTGGTCCAGTTTCTAGCAGGCCACCGGATCGGGAGTTGGGGCCCTCTGGCTTACAGGATCATGACATGAGCATCCTCTGACAGTTCCTACTGGGTTGATCAGTAGATATTACAGCTGGTATTTTTACACCTTAAACCGGAATATGGAAAAGATGATTGACTGCTATAGAAATAAAGTATGTACTGTCAGTCAAAATGGAGATTAAACAGTAATTTACAATTCATATATAACATCAGCAAAAATTAGCAATGCTAAAATATCCTCTTCTTTCTGTGCCACCATAATGGTGGGCATGAACGTCCTGGCTGTTGCTCTCAGGAGTATCAACAATGCCAAAAAGAGGCAAACACTAGGTTCTTACTAGGCTGCACTCCAAAGTCATTATCCAGTTTCTAACTGTGATGATGAAGCATGGTTACATTGACTAATTTGAAATCATTGCTCATAGAGCTGGAAAAATTGCTGTGACCCTCACAGGCAAATAAAATTCATGTGTAGTGATCAGATTTGATGTACAAGTCAAAGATCTAGAATATTGGCAGGTTAACCTGTTGTAACACTTTGAGAGGCCAAGACAGGAGGTTGCTTGAGCCCAGGATTTCAAGACCAGCCTGGGCAACATAGCGAGACCTTGTCTTTACAAAAAATAAAAATGTAGATACATTTTTAAAAATTACCCAGGCGTGGTTGTGCACACCGGTAGTCCCAGTTACTTGGGAAGCTGAAGAGGGAGAATGGCTTGAACTCATTCGTTCAAGGCTACAGTTGAACTGTGATTGTGAGCTGGTGCCACTGCACCCCACCCTGGGCAACAGAGTGAGGCCCCGATTCAAATAAAGAAAAAGTATATGGAAGGATGTGCATAGGTAAGTGCAAATACTACATTTTATATAAAGGACTTGAGCATCCTCAGATTTTGGTATCCATGGGGGTGCCCCGGAACCAATCCCTCTGAGGGATGACCATATATATTTTTGTGCGTTTAGTATAAGCATTTCTGTAGGTGAGAATCCAGGAATTAGATATAGCCAAGAGCTCAAGAAATCTGTACCAATTTACACTAACACAACACAGTATATGTGAGAAGACCCAGTTACTCCCCACTTTGACCTAGGATATTCTTTTTTTTCCCCATTGAGGCATTTTATTTGTAAGTATGTGTTGTATCCCTAGAAAAAGAATCCCGGTATTTTCCTTCCTGTGTGTTTTCCTCTTGCTTCTTCGTGGTCCAGGTTGCCAGCTGTGCTTTGTTAGTACAGTGAAACCCAACTGGGGGATGGAAGCAGACGTGAGCCACCACACCTGGCCCTCCCATATACTTTAAATCATCTCTAGCTTGCTTATGATACCCATACAGTATAAATACTATGTAAATAGTTGTTACACCATATGTCTTGTTTGTATTATTTTTATTGTTGTGTTGATTTTCATTTAATTTTTTTCAATCAATGGTTGGTTGAATTCAAGGATGTAAAACTACAGATATAGACAGGAGCTATATACTCACTCATCAGACAGCTTTCAAGTACTTAACTATGTGCCAAGGACTGTGCTTAATAACAGGGATACATGATCTCTACCTTCATGGAACTTGAGTCTAGTAGGGGGGAGCAATCAAATAATCCCCAGATAAAGAAAAAAACTGTGATAAATAATGTGAAGGAATAATTGATTGTGAGCACTTCTTAGGGGGAATTTTATCTAATTAGTTTGCATCTGAGAATTGTGCTAAGATCTGAGGGCGAAAGGCATGAAGGCAAAGAATTCAGGGCGGAGAACAGCATATGCAATGAGCTCGTAAGTAAAAGATGCAAAGCATGTCACAGGCAAGAAAGTGAGTGTAGCTAGAGTGGAGCGTCGCATTAGTGAACAGGGAGAGATGTTTGGGGTCTGGCGATGTAAGACTATGGAGACCAAGAAGAGGGGTTTGAGAAGGCTTTAAATGTGTTTAAGCAAGGATCAGACTCGTGTTTCTGAAAGAGTTGCGAGGACAGTGGGTACTAGAAGGCCATTGAAATTGTATTGTCAGAGGTGGGTAAACACCTTACATCTGTACTATGCAATAACATGCAGCCTTTAAAGAGAATGTGGGAGATCTACTTATACTGGAGGAAAGATGTGCTTGGTGCATTTGCAGCTGGATGGAGAGTTCATGGTACTCATAGTGAAAAAGAAAGTTTTAATAAGGTTCCCTTTTTTTGTGTGTTTTTTTTTTTTTGAGTTGGAGTCTCATTCTGTCGCCCAGACTGGAGTGCAGTGGCCGCTCTCGGCCACTGCAGCCTTGACCTGCTGGGCTCCTGCAATCCTTCCGCCTCAGCCTTTCGGGTAGCTGGAATTACAGGCGCGCGCTACCACGCCCGGCTAATTTTTTGATTTTATTGTAGAGATGAGAGCTCGTCAAGTTGCCCAGGCAGGTCTCGAACTGCGGGTTCAGGCAATCCACTCACCTCAGCCTCCCAAAGGCGCGGGATTACAGGCTGAGCCACCGAGCCCGGCTTGGTTCCCTTTTTATATGAAATAAAAAGACAGGTATTTAGTTGTAAGCATATCAAAGCTGCATGTCTCTACACAAGTATTTTTAAATGTATGCAAAATATACTTGTGTCTCTAAGGATGTAAGAGAGGTAATCTAAATCAATAAATGCAAAGGCCTCTGATGGGTAGAGAAGTCACTTGAGTATAAGGTGTAAAAGAGAAATTGTACTTTTTACTCCTTCTGTGTGTATATTTTTTGAACTTTTTACAATTAATATATATTGCTGGCTGGGCACAGTGGCTCAAGCCTGTAATCCCAGCACTTTGGGAGACCAAGGCAAGAGGATTTCTTGAGCCTGCAGGTTCGAAACCAGCCTGGGCAACATGGTGAGATCTCGTCTCTGCAATAAATCAAAAAATTAGCTGGACATGGTAGCACGCACTATAGTTCTGGTGGAAGGATCACTGGAGCCCAGTAGGTTGACGCTGGGGTGACCGTGAGCGTGCTACTGCACTCTAGCCTGGAGTGAGACTCCAACTCAAAAAAAAGTGTGTGTGTGTGTATATGTGTATACATATATAATGATTTAAAAGTATTTTAAAGATAAAGTGTGATAGATAGGAAGCGTAAAATAGAGTATAAAATGTCATGTTCTTAGAAATAAATGGTCCTGTGGCCAGGCAGAAAAAATAGGAATGGTTGTGAGGGGGAGAAATAGTGAAGAGAGTGAGGACTGGGTGCCCTGACTCATGCCTGTAATCCCAGCACTTGGGAGGCTGAAATGGGAGGATTGCTTGAGCTTAGGAGTTCAAGCCAGAAGTTTCCAACCCTTTTTGTTGCCCATTCCTTCTTGTTGAACTTGGAAGTTTCCATTTCAATTCTGAAAACATGTAATGAAGAGAAATTCTCTTTGAAGAAAACGGGCAAACTTGCCTTAATCATTTGTCTTCTCTATTCACTGTGTGTCTAGTCAGTGTAGTTGATTCGTTTGTATGCTTCTTGTTAGCTTTTTTGTGAAACAAAAACTGAGTCTTTGATTTTTTTTTTGCAGATGAACAAGTTGATTGAATATTACCAGCAGCTTGCTCAGAAAGAGAAGGTTGAGCGAGATCGCAAGAAGCTGGCACGACGTAGAAACTATATGCCTCTGGCTTTTTCGGTGAGGATTTAGTACAAAAGCAGTTTGCAAGACCTGTGGGGCGTAGGAAGTGTATATTTCAAAAAGTGGCCATTGTCCTAGATTCCCGATTGATGGGAAGCAGAGAGGTTCCTCAGATTATAGATATTTAAATCTAATAATTAGACTTCTGCGATATCAGTAGCTCTATTTATTTATGTTTTAAGGACATTTGTGTTTCTCTTTTCACTCTGCTTTCTCTTCTGATTATTCTCCCAAAAGGCTACTGTTTAATTTTGTAGGCCACAGGACTCTACTTACAGCCTTTGTGTATTACAGAAAGTCTGAGAAGAAGAAGGTGGGCAAACGGTAGATTTTAGTCTGTTACCTGTGACATCTGGTGGCAGTGGTTTCTTAACTCTAGTTATTGTAATTTTTTTGACATCTTCCCTCATTTCTCCAAGATGAAAAACACTGACTTTTACACAGTGCATTTGTGTGGTTAAAATAAATAATAATACAAGGGAGACCTCCAAAAAACGAAATTTTTTTTAGAGGACATGCCCCTTTTAGTACAGGATTCTCCCACAAGGTGAGTATTCTAGGAACCCACTGACATCAGTGTACCAGCTAGTGTTGTTGTGAGAGGCTGCATTCGGCTTCAGTGAATTTCTTTTTTTGGAGATTTTTTTCAATGTGTTTACCCATTTTGTGATGGATGATTTATGAGCACACCTGCCCACACTGCACTGAGTGTTCAGCGGTTTTTGACCAAAAGCAGCATGACTGCCATGCCCTCTCCCTATTCACCCAGTCTCACCCTGAGCCAGTTTCCCCAGATGAAAAAAACTCCTCAGAGGGAAACATTTTGCTAAGATGGAAGAGGTGAAACAAAAAACAAAAAGCACTAAAAGGCATCAAAATCAACAAGTTCAAAAACTGTTCTGAGCAGTGGAAAGAACTTCTTCATAAGTGTATTGCATCAAATGGAGAGTGGTTTGAAGGTGACTGAAGTTTAAACATGTAAGAATGAATACATAATTTTTTATAAATAAATTTCAGTTTTTTGAGGGTCTCCCCTTGTATATACAAGTAGAGTTTTTCATAGGGATGATTTCTGGAAGTCATTCTTCTGCCAGTATATATACTACTAGTCAGAAGCAAGCAATTAGGATTTGAAATTTTTCTTATTGTTCCCCAAGTTTTATTTGCTCTCACAGAAGTTTGCTTTTTGTGCGCTTGCTTGGGGCCCAGCAAATTGACATTTAATAAATAACATTTATTGAATGGCAATGATGTGTCAAGCACTATGCTAAGCACTTTACACTTATTATTTTATCTAATCCTCACAAGAATCCTATGGGATAGTGTAGCTCTACATTTGAGGAAATGAGACCTGCTTAAGTAACTTATCATGCTGCATCCACATGAGACTTAGTTAAGCCATTGAAGCCCTAAGGTTTGGTGAGGTCCATTGATTAGAATTCAGTAAAACATTAACACTTGCAAAGCACCTGCATTTGCAAAAGAAGTGGATTCTTCTGAGATGTCCTGTGGCGTAATCAGCATATACACTAGTGCACATTATATTTAGGAGAGGAGGTTGAGTTTCATGCATTGTTCTCCAACTTTCCCATATAACCTGCCTGCGTTTGCATTTGCTTCTATCTTACGCTGCACTTTTTTGTCTCTGTTGCAACCTGCTGCTATTTGGGGTTCTACAGCAACACACTATTCACGTAGTGGTAAGTTCTCTTTTATGATTCTTGCTGACCCTGAGGAAGTTAGCAGACGGTCACTGGTGTTCCAGGAGGACATTCGTCATGTGTCTTAGACACTCCACGTAGTTCTTGCCTGAACCCTAGCTTAGATCTTTTTAGATTAATAAAAGCTCACATTTGGTTCACTTTTACTGTATTCATATAGTTTTAGTCCCCATGTTTGGTGCTTTTACTGTTATTTTAAGAGTAGAATAATGACTTGGGGCTACAAATTACTCTTTCTAAAAGAAACTTTTAAATTGGGGTGTTGTTTTTTTTTTTGCTTATTTCCCTGAGCTTCTCTTGCTGTCCCACCCAGAATTCTTTCAATAAGTAGGATGCATAAATATGAACTTTCTAATAGGAATTTCTGACCTTTGTTTAGGACAAATATGGTCTTGGAACCAGGCTTCAGCGACCACGAGCTGGTGCATCTATCAGTACTCTTGCTGGACTTTCGTAAGTTTGGACATGAAATGACATTAAGGACAAAAGCAGGTATCAAATTGAATATTGAAGGAATATGATTTTTTTTTTTTAAGTTGCAAATGGCAATGAAGATTTCTATACTTAGAAAATACCTAAGCTGGGCGCAGTGGCTCACTCCTGTAATCCTAGCACTTTGGTAGGTGGAGGCAAGAGGATTGCCTGAACTCAGGGGTTTCAGACCAGCCTGGGCAACATAGCGAGACCTCGTCTCTACAGTAAATCAAAAAATTGGCTGGTGGGACACGCCTGTGGTTCCAGCCACTTGGAAGACTGAGGTGGAAGGATCTCGTGAGCCCAGCAGGTCAAGGCTGTGGTGGCTGTGAGCATGCCACCACGCTCCAGCCTGGGTGACAGAATGAGACTCCAACTCAAAAAAAGACCTAAACTAAAGAATATTCTACAGTAGAGGAGTACTTCAATTATGATATAGAATTTGAAGACAATCAGTTGGACCCTTGAGAAATTCCTACTTTTTACCTTTTAGCCTTAAAGAAGGAGAAGACCAGAAGGAGATCAAGATTGAGCCAGCTCAGGCTGTGGATGAAGTAGAACCTCTCCCCGAAGACTATTATACAAGACCAGTTAATTTAACAGAGGGTAATTTTATACATTATTCTGCTTTGTTTCCATTCTACATCTAATTCCGTTTTTGTTATTTATAAACCTTGTGGTTTGAGATTTTTATTGGAATAGTTGTTGGTAGTAAAATGATATGTGAGAAAATAAAATAAATGTAATAGATGTATTTGTTTGAAGAACTTTAAAATGTCTGTCAGATTTCTGTATTGTCATTTTTTGAGGAACAATACTATTCATAAAGGCAATATTTCTTGGTGTAATTTCTCACTACATATATCTGGTTTTGAAAGTCACTGTTCACTGAGCCTGGTTCTACCTTTTGTGCCAGTGACCACCCTGCAGCAGCGTCTCTTACAGCCGGACTTCCAGCCCATCTGTGCTTCCCAGCTCTATCCTCGCCACAAACATCTTCTGATCAAACGATCCCTGCGCTGCCGGGTAAGTTCCATCCTGTAAAGCTGCCATCTCTCTATACAAGAGAAAAGCAGAAATAAAGTTAACATGGTGATATCTGACCAATGTCAAAACCTCTGGAAAAAACTTTTATAGAGAATTTGCTAGGTGTCCAGGCACTGTTTTAAATGCTTTCAGTAGAAATTAAATCCTCACAACTCTGTGAGTAAGGTACCACTGTTAAACCAGTTTTACGAATGTGGAAAAATGAAGTATCTTAAGGTTAAGTACATAATGCTAACCACTAAAAGAATAGTGAAAGAGTGTAATGCCTTTAGGCTAGCGTTGGTAGGGGAAGACCAATAATAAAAATTAGTTTAAAAGAAAGAAGAGGCCAGGTGCAGTGGCTCAAACCTGTAATCCTAGCACTTTGGGAGGCCAAGGCGAGAGGATTGCCTGAGGCCAGGGGTTCGAGACCAGCCTGCACAACTTGGTGAGACCATGTCTCTACAATATATCAAAAAATTAGCCGGGTGTGGTAGCACACGTCTTTAGTTCCAACTACTTGGAAGATTGAGGTGGAAGGATCTCCTGAGCCCAGCAGGTTGACGCTGGGGTGGCTGTGAGCGTGCCACTGCCTCCAGCCTAGGTGACAGAGTGAGGCTCTAACTCAAAACAAAAAAAGAAGAAAAATTAGCAAAATCCAGGCTGAGAATATACAGAGCAAATGGCACTTTCTTCAGTAAATAAACTGAAAACAAAATGGAATAGAAACTGGAGTGCAGGTACACTCATGGCCACCCTAGTGTCCACCTGCTGGGCTCCGGTGATCCTTCTGCCTCAGCCTTCCAAGTAGCTGGAACTATAGCTGCGTGCTACTGCACCTGGCTGATTTTTTTATTTATTGTAGAGACGACGTCTCACCAAGTTGCCTGGGCGGGTATCGAACCTGCGGGCTCAGGCAATCCAGTTGCCTCGGCCTCCCAAAGTGCTGGGATTACAGGCTGAGCCACCAAGCCTGGCCAGTGTTTCATTTTAATTCATGTAGCCCTTTGTACTCAGATGTCCTCTCTGAGGAGACATCATAAATCTAGCAAACCACTCAGATGGCCCCTCAGGGGATATAAAGAGATTGCTTGTGATTATATAGGACAAATTTATACCAGTGCAAAGTTTTCAAAAAGGTATGTTTCCTTGAAGTTTTTCATTGAAAGTGTGTGAAAAAGCCAATAAAAAGATGGAATACATACTGAGGTATGATCAATCAGTTGAGAAGTGGTTTTCAGGTATCGGGAGTGCATCCTTCCATATTGTCTTTGAACAACAGACTGAACATTAAATTACATTTTTTTTTTTTGAGTCAGAGTTTCACTTGGTTGTCCAGACTGGAGTGCAGGTACACTCATGGCCACCCTAGTGTCCACCTGCTGGGCTCCAGCAATCCTTCCACCTCTGGCTTCCAAGTAACTGGAACGACAGGCTTGCGCTACCGCGCCTGGCTAATTTTTTGATTTATTGTAGAGACAAGGTCTCACCAAGTTGCCCGGGCTGGTCTCGAACCCTCAGGCACAGGCATTCTTCTCGCCTCGGCCTCCGAAAGTGCTGGGTTTACAGGCTTGAGTCACCAAGCCGGCCAAATTACATATTATTAATATAGGAAGAAGAAAAGGAGACTGCATTGTCTCCTGGAATAGAAAAACAGGTGGAATGTCAAACTAATTTCTGTTGCACAACGTCTTATCAGTGAACCTACAGTGCATGTTGGTGATTGTTTCAAATGTTACCACACGTTAGAAAAATATAAGGTATAAAATTTTGACTTTTTTTGTTGTGTCATGTCAAATTTTATTATAAGCCAAATATCATTATAATAAAATAGTTCCAATGCTATACTATTTAATATGAAGGGATTCGTTTTTCACTGTTTTGTAAAAACGTTCAGTCAAGTTCCAAGTAGGTGATCCACAAGATGTCTTGGAGTGCAAAGGTTAAGTAAACCACATGTCGCTAGTGGCTAATGTTATCAAATAGTACTCCAGGTTAGAAGAGAGGCATACCAACCAAGCACAATGTATAAATTCTATATAGATTCTGATTCAAACAGAACACAGAAAGGGTCCAGGGGAAGAGAAAGAAAGGGAAGAAGGGGAAGGGAAAGATAAAAGAAAGAAGGAAGAGTTTATGAAATATTTGGGGAAATTGGGGCAGGATTTTTGATGCTATTTAATAATTAGTTAGCTGGGTGCAATGGTGCATACCTGTAGTCTTAGCCACTCAGGAGCCTGAGGCAGAAGGGTCACTTGAACTGGGAATTTGAGGCTGTAATGTACTATGATTGTACCTGTGCATAGCCACCGCATTTTAGCCTGGGCAGCATAGCGAGACCCTGTCTCCAAAAAAAAAAGAAAAAGCTAGGTGCATTGTCCCAGGCCTCTCTAAGTGCTGGGATTATAGGTATGAGCCACTGAGCCTGGCCAAGAAATCATTAATTTTTATATAGCAAGACTTACAGGATGTAACTAAGGTTGTGCTTAGCTATTCGGTATATATGTTAGAAAAGAAGAAAGATGAAAAGATTAGTGGGCTCAGCATCCATTTCAAGAAGTTAGAGAAAGAACAGCAAGTTAAATCCAAAGGGACTAGAAGGAAGAGCAGGTATTAATGAATTAAGAAACCAGTATAAAGCGCAAAAGAGCAACAAAACCAGAACCCAATTCCTTAAAGAAGATTAATAACAGGAATAGTTATATGTAAATTAAATTAATTTAAATATATGTAAATGTCAGTTACATAATGTGCTATTGATTTAGTGATACCTACTGAAAAATTAGTTACCTTTTGTCCCTTTGACTTCTCTTCTAGGAGTTTGTCTTACACCTCCACAAAGACAGCCAAAATGTGCAGATTGTGGTATATCCACACAAGGAGTACTGTAAATGTATTTTAAAAATGTACTGATATGAGATATATTTTGATTGAGTGATTGATTGAGTTGGAGTCTTACTCTATTGTCCAGGGGGGAGTACAGTCTCATAATCACTGCAGCCTCAAACTGCTGGGCTCAGATGATCCTTCTGCCTTAGTCTTCCAAGTAGCTCGAAGGAGCTACAGGCTTGTGCCACCATGCCTGGCTGATTTTTTTGTTTGTTTGTTTTATTTTAGAGATAAGGTCTTGCCAAATTGCCCAGGCTGAACTCAAATTCCTGGGCTCAGGCAGTCCTCTCGCCTCCACCTGACAAAGTGCTAGGATTATAGGTGAGCCATGGAATATATTTTTTTAATGTAAAAAGCAGGGTGAATGGTAGGCAGGAGACTTTTTGTGTAAGAAAGAAGGGAAAATACAAAAATGTACATAAAAAAATTTTTTAAGTGTCTAAGTGCAGAACAGAATAGAAAAAGCAGAAATAGACTCATGCATATGAGAAAATTTATTATTTATTAAATATAACATGGTAGATCATTGGCGAAAGCATAGTCTATTAAATTTTGCTAAGCCAAATTATTATATGAAAAATAAATTGGGTTGCTACCTCACACCTTAAAGGTCAGTTGCAGAAACTATGCAAATTTATAGAGCAAGTGTGAAGAGCAAAACTTCTGGAAGGAAATGTAGGAGAATACTTATTTTATTCTTCGTGACTTATTTCTGTAAATAAGACAAATAAACTCAGACTTATATGAGGGGGGACCCAGAAAAAACCCAGAGTTATCTTTGGTGTGCATGCTCCTTTTAGTACACTCAGAATTTGTTCCTCTGGATCAAATGGTCAACCAAAGTTTTGAGAAGGTTGCATCACAATTTGCGGAAGAGTTGTCCCAAGTTGTGGCGAACAGGTGACTGGTTCTTCCACCATGACAATGCACCTGTCTACACTGCGCTGAGTTTTCAGCAGGTTTTGACCCAAACCAGCATGACCCCTGTACCTCACCTTCCCTATTCACCTCATCTCGTCCAAACAACTTTTTTTTTGTTTCCCTGGATGAAAAAAGTTCTCAAAGGGAAATGTTTTGCCAATGTGGAAGAGGTAAAACAAAAAACAGCAGAAGCGCTAAAAGGCATCAAAATTGACAAGTTCAAAAACTGCAGTAGAAAAAGCATCTCAATAGGTATATTGCATCAAATAGTGCTTTGAAGGTGGCTGAAGTTTAGACATGTAAGGATAAATACACAATTTTTAAAATAAATAAGTTCTGGAGTTTCTTGGGGGGGGGTTCCTCCTTATAATGTAAAGTTACATATGTGAATTCATTAAAAGTGAAACTTTATCCTCATCTCAAAGAAAACCCATGAAGAAATGAAAAGATAGGCCTCAAACTGAGAAAAAATAATTTCTGAGGTATATAATAATAGATTAGTATCTAGAATATATAAAAAGCTTCAGCAAATCAACATGGTAAAGATAACCCAGTATAAAAATAACCAGCAGATACTAACAAGTCTTGGCAGAAGATAGCTCAATAACCAATAAATATAAGATATATCTAAATATATACAGTAATCAGGGAAATGTACATTAAAACTGTGATGAGATGTCATTTCATAATCATATTGGCCAAAGTTACTGGTTTGTAGTATCTGTCAAAATAACAAATGCATACACCCTTTGATCTACTCAGGAAATTATCTTACCAGATACACATGGGAAATGATTTGTGTACAAGAACACTCATTACTGCAATATTTATAGTAGCAAAATAATGGATGTTTCAATATATTGAATGTCCATCAGTTTGTATCCTGTTACATAAATTATGAAAATTGTTACAGTGGGACACAGAGACTCTCTGCTGGAATGGAATTAATTCCAAGATAGACTAAGTGAATACAGCAAAGGGCAAAATAATGTATAAAATGTTCTCTTGGCCGGGTTCAGTGGCTTGGTGTGTAATCCCAGCACTTTTGGAGGCTGAGGAGAGTGGATTGCCTGAGCCTGTGCATTCGAGATCTGGACAGCTTGTCAAGACCTCGTCTCTACAATAAATCAAAAATTAGCTGGGCTTTGTAGCATGCTCCTATAGTTCTGGCTACTTGGAAGACTGAGATGGAAGGATCGCCAGAGCCCAGCAGGTCAACACTGGAGTGACTGTGAGCATGCCACTGCACTCCAGCCTGGGCCACAGAGACTCCAACTCAAAAAAAAAAGTCCTCTTTGTGTTGCTGTGAGAGAAAAAAGATGATGTGTGTTTTGTACTTTTATGTGCATAGGCCATCTGGGGAGAGGGACAAGGGGACAGATAGGTAATGGTCATCTTTACGTTGGGCACATTTTTTTAATACTGTTAAAGAAAACTGTAACCAGGTGTATGTATTTATGAAAGTAGTCAGTAATTTTAACTGTATTTTAAAGCATAAGATCGATGCCGGGCTCGGTGGCTCAGCCTGTAATCCTGTGCCTTTGGGAGGCTGAGGTGAGTGGATTGCCTGAGCCCACGGGTTCAAGACCCGCCTGGGCAATTTGGCTAGACCTCATCTCTACAATAAATCAAAAATTAGCCGGGCATGGTAGCGCGTGCCTGTAGTTCCAGCTACTTGGAAGGCTGAGGCGGAAGGATCGCCGAAGCCCAGCAGGTCGAGGCTGCGGTGGCTGGGAGTGGCCACTGCACTCCAGTCTGGGCGACAGAGTGAGACTCCAACTCAAAATAAAATAAATAAAGCATAAGATTGGGAATTATACTACTTGGATTTAAATCTCAGCTTCTGTTTTTATTGACTCTTTAATCATTGATAAAATAGAAACAATAGTTTTAGTGCCTATATTCCTCATAAAGTTGATGTGATGTTTAAATTCATTTAAACCAATGAGCACATTGTTTAGCACATAGGAAGTACTCGGTATCTGTTGCTATTTCAGTAGTTCTTAAGCACTGTAAAGGTATAATAATATTAGATAGGGTGGTTGCCTATATCCAGAAGTCCAAACATCTTTTGTAAATTTTGGTTAGTATAACTGTATTTCAAAGTATACAGTCTTGTGGTAGAGTACAACAACCCCACATTCCCTTGAGTGCTGTCCTTAGGAATCAGCAGCTCTGTGGGACTTGTTTTCTTTTTTTTGTAATCCCAAGATGCGGGATTACAGGCTGAGCCACTGAGCCTGGCTGTGCCTTGTTTTCCTGTGATAATGTGTTATATTTGTTTTCTTTTTAGAAATGTGAACATAACTTGAGCAAGCCAGAATTTAATCCAACATCTATCAAATTCAAAATCCAACTGGTTGCTGTGTGAGTATTTTGGGATTGGTGTTTTTGGTTATTGTTTGGGGACTTGGGGTTTTAATTTTGGGTTTTTCAGTGTGAAATGTGTTTACTCTCAGACTAAAGAAAGGGAAAATTACATCAAAATAATCATGATATCCTGTTCCTGTTTAGCTTTTGGATTTAGTTATATGCCATGAAGTTTAAGGTAAATCTATAGATATGGAATCAAGGATGTTTTTATCAAGGACACAGGGACCTAGTATGATCTGGGGCAATATGATATATTGATTATTGGCTATAGAGTTACTAGTCATTCATTACAAATTATAAAATACTTGAGGTTGAGAATACACTTTTAAAAAACTAAAAAATAAAGTATAACAGATTGAAGAGCATCCCTGTACCAGTGTTTATTTTATTTATCTGTGTTTTTGTAATTCCTCATTGAGTGGGGATAAAAGTGATTGAGTCACTATTAGCTCTCTGGAACTTGTAAGTAGAAGGGAAATTTGTAGAAAAATGATCTATCAGGCTATCTGAATGGTCCTACTTAGAGATATACACTGTCACTTAAAACTTACCCACTACTCAACTAACTAGACTTAAGCGTTACTTTTAACCTGCGCACTAGAATGTTCCCTCTGTGCGGACATCTTAAATCTAGCAAACCACTCAGATGTCACCTTTCAGGGGACATAGATTGCTGGTGATTATACAGAATAAACTTATGCCAGTACCGATTTTTTTTTAAGTCAGAGTCTCACACCGTCACCCAGGTTGGAGTGCAGTGGCATGCTCATGGTCACCCCAGCGTTGGCTTGCCAGGCTCTGGTGATCCTTCCACCTCAGCCTTCCAAGTAACCGGAACTACAGGCACGTGCTACCATGCCTGGCTAATTTTTTTATATATTTTAGAGACGAGGTCTCCCCTTGTTGACCAGGCTGGTCTTGAACCCACAGATTTAGGCAGTCCTCTTGCCTCGGCCTCCCAAAGTGCTGGGATTACAGGCTTAAGCCACCACACCTGGCCATCAGTACAGATTTTTTTTAAATGTATGTTTTCTTGAAGTTTTCCATTCAAATTGCACGAAAAAGCAAACGAAGAAATGGAATATATACTAAGATATCATCAATCAGTTGAGAAGTGGTTTTCAGGAATTATGAGTATATCCCTCCACATCATCTTTGAACAAAGGACTGGACAATAAAAATTACATATTATCAATGCGGGAGAAAAAGAAAATGAGACTGCATTATCTGCTCAAATAGAAAAAACAGGTGGAAGACATCAGACAAATTACTATTGCATAACATGTATCAGTGAACCTGCAATGCATGTCGGTGACTGTTTCATAAGTTACCACCCGTTAGAAAAAATATAAGAAATAAAATTTTGATTTTTTTGTTATAAATAAGTTCCTCAATGTCCAAAATTCCATTATAAGCCAAATATCATTATAATAAAATAATTTGTTCCAACATTATACTATTTAATATGAAATGATTCATTTTTCACCATTTCATTAAAAAAGTACAGTCAAGTTGCAGGTAGGTGATCCGCAAGATGTTTCCGAGTGCAGTGAGTTCAAAAATTACCTGCCAAACAAGAAAGATACTTTGAAAAATTAGGAAAATATTGTCTAGCTTTGGGGTAAGAGAACCCTTCTTTAGCAAGGCAAAAATCCCAGAGGCCACTAAGGAAAAGAAGCAACTTTAACCTTAGCAGAAATGAAATATGAGTTGTAAAGGATGAGATTAGCAACCAAGTCCTAAAACGTACTGTAGAGCTGGGAAGAATATTTGGCACTCGTGACAACTAAAGTTTAATATCCCAGGTACAGAGAATTCCCACAAATCGGAAAGATAAAAATAGAGGGAGGCAATAAGGTGGACTGTGGGGCAAAGGTGTTGAAGAGGAATTCCAAATAGTCGAAAGTGGACTGTGTATGGATAGATTCTGAGATGTGATAGGAAAAGCTTTAAAACATAAATCACATCTGCTTCTCTTGAGAATATGGGTAGATGCGTATTTGCATACATTGTTGGTAAGATCGTGAATTGCTAGTCTTTTTGGAGTCTGGTAATATCAGAACAAAACACAAAGGCCTTTTAACCCAGCAATACTATCTCATGAGTCTCTTCTGTAGAAACAAAAGCACCAATAAATACAGATACATTCCCAAAGATGAGTATCATAGCATTTTGGTGGCAAAATGCTGGGAATAATTTTAGTGTCATGCTGTTTAACTATTAACAAGGAGACAGTTGATTAAGTTGAGATAACTTGTACTGTAGGGTATTATGCAGCAATTAAAAAGATGCCACTGAGAAATACAAAGGTGGAAAGTGCTGGTCTGGGGAGTTAGGAGGAGCTGAAGGGCCAGGTATGGGGTCTGCCACTTTCTATGTCTAAATTTATTTCCCTCATCTCTGAAATGGGAAAATAATACTTTCCTCTCAGGGTTGTTGAAAAGAAACACGAACTATTAAGTTTGCAAATGCTTTGTAATTTATCATAAAATACATTCATTTTCGTTTAATACGTGACTGATTCGGAAGGAAGAGAACTACTGAAATGACTACACGTGTGAGATGAACTCCTTTCTTAGGAATTGCGCTCATTACAGAGCCCTGAATGGCAGGCTGTTCTTAACATCAATTCCTTAGGCTTGCTTTGAGGAAAAGTGCTTTTTTCCGATATGGCAGATCACCTAACATACAGGACTTAGACCTCAGATCTCCTGGTGTACCTTTTTTTCACTGTTAGTGCTTCTGCAATAGATTTTATCTATGTTATATATATACAACAACCAAAATGTATACATGCTTTGTTCTGAGCATTTTTGCACGTATTATTCAGTGTATTCTTCACAATAAATGCAAGAGCTAGATACTGCTATTGTCCTCATTTTACTTGAGAAAACCAAGGTGCAAGAGGTAAATATCTTGAGTCCAGACCAAGCACACTAAAATATAATGTTCTGTTGTCTTATATAGAGAGGTAGTGTAATGTAGTGGTTAAGAGCAAGGAGACTGGAGCCAGACTGCTGGGGTTTGATCCCAGCTCTGCCACTTACCAGTGACTTGCTAATCTTCTCATGCCCAGTTTCTTCATTTTTGTAATGGAGATAATAATACTTGTGCAGTTGCAGTGAAGATTACATGAATTAATGTTTGCTAAGTGTTTAAAACATTGCCTGGCACATAGTACTATATAAATGTTCAGTAAGTATATAGTAGTAATTTTACAGCCATACAACATAAGTCAGCTTTTGATGTTATAACTGATTGCCTTCTAGAATTGCAAAAATGAATTTTAAAAGATCTCAAAAATATACATGTCAAAGGAATATGTGTGTCATGATAAACACACACACACACACGTAAGCTCTTCACTAGAAGTTCACATAAGATATCAGAAAGAGCTCATTGCTAGTTTGGTGTCATATCTTAAGTTCTTACTGTAGTGATGATACGTTTTTTAAAAAAATTTTTTCTCTGGTATGTTCTGATTAACATGAAGAAGTCCTTTACTTGCTATACTAGATTTTTTTTTTAAGTGATAATTTAAGCAACTCCAGTAAACATTAATGCATTTTTTTATTCATGCATAGCAATTATATTCCAGAAGTCAGAATCATGTCAATTCCCAACCTTCGATACATGAAGGTTAGTACCTTGTTTATTGGAGAGAAAGTGTCAGTTGATCAGTGATGTGTGCATATGTGTATGTGGGTGACTGTGTATCTGGCACAGGATACAGTGAGCAAGTGTGAGAGAAGAAGACAATTGGGGATAATAAAGGGATTGAGCCTTACTTTGACTGAGATTCTTAACAATAGCACCTTTGGAAAGTATGCAGAGGCAGTAGGATGCCCATTATATAAGGTTGGAATCACAGGTGGGGAAAAGAAAGTGGATGGTGTTGGACCTCACGAGCATTTTTCACTCTTGGCTGGCCTAGAGATTCTCCACCAGCTCCTGTGTTTATGTGTCAGGCACCAGGAATCGGCTGAACGCCCTTCCCCACACACACCCCAGTAAGAGAGCCCTTCTCTTCCCTGGAGTCCTCATTTGTGCCCTTCCTGCCACACACACCCCAGTGAATGGTAGGATATTCTGCAGCAACCTCTTTAGCCCTTTTCCCTCGTGCTGCTCATGAAACATTTGTGTGGTCCCTATTCATTTGAAAGGTTTTTTTTTTTTTTTGCTCAAAAGAATACCAAACAAGGGCAAGTTATCATGGCTCAAGAGGTCTTCAAAGGCTTTTATATAGTATTGGTGTGCCATTTTTTGTGTGTGTTAAAATATATGGCCGGCCTCTTATTTTACTTATGAAGGCCTCCTTCTTTTCAGTCCTTAAGTGGCAACCTGGGTGGGACAAGTTGTAACCTTAAACAATCACTTAGATAATGAACATTTTTCAGGATTTCTAGATTTGGTAACTGGCCCTTTGGGTAGGACCTGTCCCATTTCCTCAGTGAAATAGCAGCTCCAGAGAGTATGTGGTCTAACATACAGATACTAAAACAGGAAGCCGTGAACACTCAGAACAAGTGGTGAGCTATTGATATGGGGAGGTGGCATTACCCAGGAGTAATGGGGGATGATGGTTTTGTAAAGTATTTGGCGTAGCAGCTAAGGAAGTGGACCCAAGTGGCAGTAGGGACACACATCTGAGAGATGTTTTTCCTGTTCCCCAGGAGAGCCAGGTCCTCCTGACTCTTACGAATCCAGTGGAGAATCTCACCCACGTGACTCTGTTGGAGTGTGAGGAGGGGGACCCTGATGACATCAACAGCACTGCGAAGGTGAGAGCATGGCCTCATCCTGACTGACCCTGGCCTTGCCTGGAGTGGCCTCCTTTGACCTGGCTTAAAGATTTCCATTGTATTTTATCTTCTCATCTAATCAGCAAGTTCATTTGATTCTGATTCCTACATTTTTTACTTTATTCCCAAACACACTGCCCTATTTGAAGGTGTCATCCTTTCTTTCCTGGACTGTGACAGTAACTGTCTGATCTTGCTGTTGTTACACCACCTCCTTCATTTCAGCCCATCCTCTCTGTTGCTGCCAGGGTGATCTGTCTAAAATCTAACTCTGTATGGCCTGCTAATCAATTAGCATCTCTCTACTTTGAGATGAATCCAGATTCCTTGGTACAGCATCATAAGAGTGCCTCACGGCCTCACATCTCTCTGTTCCTCCAACATGACCTTCCTTCAGATCTCAAATTTAGCATGCTCCAAATTGTGCATATTAGTGGCTGTGACTGAAACAGATTCAGTGGATTTTAACCTTTCCCACTGGAGAACTGCATCTGCTGCTTGTTATACCTAGAGTGCTTCCTTCCTGTCCCTGCTCCCCTAATACACCTGCCCTTTCAGGCGCTCAGTCTGATGCATTCATTATTTAAGACTCCAGTGAAACATCCTTTCCTGTTAAAAGCTGTGATGCCTCTCTAGGTTCCTTCTGCTCCTGTAGAGAGAGACAGCATCACCTCAGTATCAAAATGGGGGATTTTTACTCTCAGCATTAGAGGAATGAATGTAATATGGCCTCTTGATATTTTGCTACTTATTGATTCATCTAGTTCTTGAAATTTTAGAATAAGAACTTTTCTCTGTAGATCATCTATTACTAATTAATAATTCAGCATGATACTCATAACAAATATTGTTAGAAAGGATGCTTGTATCTTTAGTTCACTGTTATTCAAATAATCTTAAAGTATTTTTCTGTCTCATTTTTCTTTTTTCCTTCTGCTTTTTAATGATTTCACTTACTAGTATTACTTCCTTTTTTCCTTTTTAAAATAACACTGCCAGGCTCGGTGGCTCAGCCTGTAATCCCCGTGCTTTGGGAGACTGAGATGAGTGAATTGCCTGAGCCTGCGGGTTCGAGACCCACCTGGGCAGCTTGGTGAGAACTCGTCTCTACAATAAATCAAAAATTAGCCAGAGCCGGGCTCAATGGCTCAGCCTGTAATCCCACACCCTTGGGAGGCTGAGGTGAGTGGATTGCCTGAGCCCGTGGGTTCGAGACCCGCCTGGGCAGCGAGACCTCATCTCTACAATAAATCAAAAAATCAGCTGGACATGGTAGCGCATGCCTGTAATTCCGGCTACTTGGAAGGCTGAGGCGGACGGATCGCCGGAGCCCAGCAGTTCGAGGCTGTGGTGGCCAGAAGCGGCCGCTACATTCCAGTCTGGGTGACAGAGTGAGACTCCAACTTAAAAAAAAAAAAAAATTAGCTGGGCGTGGTAGCGCGCGCCTGTAGTTCCAGCTACTTGGAAGGCTAAGGCAGAAGGATCACCAGAGTCCAGCAGGTCAAGAGTGCAGTGGACGTTCAGCAATGGCCAGTGCACTCCAGTCTGGATGACAGAGTGAGATTCCAACTCAAAAATAAATTAAAAAATAAAATAACACTAATGAGCCGCTCCAGTTAGGACAGAGACAAATCAAGCGCCTGATGCACTTTTTGTCTTTATCTCTCTCCATACCTCCCCTGCCACATTTGGATCTGCAGTTAGAAATTTGGTCGACATTTTTATCTGTTCACCCCTGACATAGCAAAGTTGAGGCCTAATTACTGTATAAATCTGAAGGATGCTTAGCTGGTTTTGTGTGTATGTGTTTTAAAATTTTTTTATTTTGAATATATGGGGTACAATTCAGGGTTAGGTATATAAATGTTCATGAAGCAGGTACCCTTGTTGATGAGGTGTGCCCCTGCCCCCTCCCCCGCCAGTTTCCCATTACTGCCAATCCCTTTCTTATAGTATTACAATAGTTATTCAAGGGCTTGTTTTTCCATTACCATAAACATATTTAGTATCTTTTTTGTTTAACTATCAGGTACCAAGAATCGGCTGGTACCGTGTCAGAAAACTTTATGTTGAAGCCTGTGCGTCTCCTTTATCTTGTTCTTGTCTCTAGTAATGATTAACTGTTTCACTTATACCAAAAAATACAAAGAGTAATACAGCAAACACCCATGTACTCCCCATCTCCTTGAGAAATAAAACATTAAAGACACAACTAAGGCCCCAGTGAGGTAAGCACTCACTTAACTTTATCATTTCCTTAAATGTCTTTGTTTTTACACTTTTATTAGAAATGTCTGTCCTCAGGCTGGGCACAGTGGCTCAGCCTGTAATCCCAGCACTTTGGGAGGCCGAGGCGAGAGGATTGCCTGAGCCCGGGGATTCAAGACCAGCCCGGGCAACTTGGCCAAACCTCATCTCTACAATAAATCACAAAAAAAATTAGCCGGGCATGGTGGCATGTGTCTGTAGCTCCAGCTACTTGGAAGGCTGAGGCAGAAGGATCATCTAAACCCAGCAAGACGAGGCTGCGGTGGCTATGAACATGCCACTGCACTCCAGCCTGGGGTAATGAGTGAGACTCCAACTCAAAAAAAAAAAAAAAAAAAAAAAAGAAATGTCTGTCCTCTAAACACTGTGTCTCTATACTCCGTGTAAGTAATACCACACTGTGTGTCTCCTGGAGCTGCTGCCTGCTTCCACATGTCTAGGTCCCTGTCATGCTTTGCCCTCTTCCATCCGTGGAACGCATGTCCTGTGCTGCCTGAGCCCTTCTGAGGTGGTCCTCTCTGTTGCCTGCAGGTGGTGGTGCCTCCCAAGGAGCTCCTCTTAGCCGGCAAGGATGCAGCAGCAGAGTATGATGAGCTGGCGGAGCCTCAGGACTTCCAGGATGATCCTGAGTGAGTGATCTTTTTCTGACCCATGCACCACAGATGACTGATACAGAGTGTCTGCTAACGTATCCCGATTTGTATCTGGAGTTTTAAAAATAACTTTTGTCTTCCTGTTTCTTAAAATAATTACTGTAGAAAATGTGGGGAAATACATATACTACCATGAAGACTACCAGAGATAAAGCACCACTACCAGAGATAAGCATTGTTAACATTTGGACATTTGTCCTTCCAGATATTCCTTTCAGCATCAGGGTTATTCTGTAAACACACTTTTTAAGACTTTGTTCTTCACGTAATAAAAATTTTTCAATTACATGGTTTTTAATAGTTGTTGTGGACAAGACACAATATTCTCTCCCTATAGATTTTTCATTGAATTTGTTCCCCACCCCCTCAGAGTAATTAATAGAGCATTCTCTCATACCTAACCATTGAGAAGTAAAAAACTAAACCTTCCCCTTGAATAAGAAGGTATCAGTCAAGAGCCAGTCTAAAGACAAAGTGTATCAATGATTTGAACAAATAATTTAATATAAAGAATTCAGAAGTAGCAATTTTATGGTTTATGACCATAAAATTCAGAGATAGCAATTTTATGAAGAGAGAATACAGGGAAATGGTTAGAATTATTAAAATGGAAGTGAAACTCAGGCCTCCAGTGAGGTGGGGCCTCGAGGAGACTCTGCTTGCCTGGTGCTGGCATCTCATGGTAGCAGAGCAGGGTGCCGTGACAATACTGCCACTTCTTGGGTAGGAAGCCTTGCTGCCATGACACCCACAGGTGGCACAAGCAAGCAGGAAGCTCAAAGAGAAAGCAAGACTTTCTTCCTCCAGGCTTCTGGTCTCCCTTTAGAGGCCCCTGTAGACAGACTGATGGGGACTCAGCCTACCATGCAGAATAGAATCCTGTGGCACAAAGCAAGCTATAAAAAAGGTGGGTGTGGAGCTGAAAAACAGTAGATTAGTAAACTGGCACCCAAGGGACATTTAAGGTTTTTTTATCAGAATGATCAAAAGCTCCCTCAGCAAGATATTGGAACAGAGTTTGGAGAACTCCATGTGAAAAACAATAGAGATCTTGATGGGGAGCAGTTAAGAGGAGGCTGATAACTCCGTGATATAAGCAAAATGGCTCAGCATCCAGAAGTTCTACAGAGAGAACCAGGGAAAGACCTGGTCAAGAAGAGCCCTCCTAGAGTGCAGTCATCTCAGGAGCAAGACGAGTGCTCTTGCTGAGGGTGGCGTGGGATGGGTGCGAAAATAGGTGAGGTTAGTGTAGTGATGGCCAAACTTGCATTGACTTCTGGAAGCACCAGTTCAGATGTTTTGTTTTTCTGTAGCATTCCAGACCCCACCCCCAGAGGATCTTTTTAGCAGGTGCTTATGTTTTAAAAACTTCCTTGATATCAGTGGTTGTCTTGGAAACTAAGGATAAAAATACTTATTTTTTCCTTTTTACTATTTTTAAGTGTTTGAATTTTTTTTAACATGATTCTTATACAAATCAACAGTTTGGTTAATTACTATAATACAAAATATATTGAGTTAGGACAATACAAAATATGTTCTCTGAAATCCTTGCTTTATGTGGGTCCTTAAATTACATTAATTCTGGAAAGATCATCTGTCAAATTCCAGTCAGATTAAATGATAACCAAATTAATAAAAAATAGAATTATATTCTCATTGTATAGACTTTTCATGCTTCTGGAAATTAATGCTGTTTAAATATGTAAATGTGTAATTCCAATAACATCTCTTATGAGGAACTGAGTATCATTTGAATAGTAGGCGAAATTCTTTTTATTTCATTGCCCTTTTACTTTTTGAAGCCAGTGCATGTGAGGGAAGACAGAAATGGAAACCCCAACCAAGAGACTTTTCTGTGCTAAAAAATTCCTAATTTACATAGGTTATTACAAAACCACACTAACTTACGGTGTTCCAAAAATTCCTTAAAGCATCCAGTTATTAAAACTTAGTATCAGTCTGAATCTTAGAGAAATACTACCACATGTGCATAGAAATAAATGTAGCCGGGCTTGGTGGCTCAGCCTGTAATCCTGCGCCTTTGGGAGGCTGAGGTGAGTGGGGAGGCTGAGGTGAGTGGATTGCCTGAGCCCCCCGCGGGTTTGAGACCCGCCTGGGCAGCGAGACCTCATCTCTACAATAAAAATCAAAAGTCAGCCGGACGTGGTAGCGTGTGCCTGTAATTCCGGCTACTCGGAAGGCTGAGGTGGAAGGATCGCCGGAGCCCAGCAGGTCGAGGCTGTGGTGGCCGGGAGTGGCCACTGCACTCCAGTCTGGGCGACAGAGTGAGACTCCAACTCAAAAAAAAAAGAAGTAAATGTAAAGGTTTATTATGTCAGCACCATTGTTTATAAGTGAAAAATTGGCAGCAATCTCAGTGTATACCAGTATGATAAATACCTGATTGAGTACTAAACCTCAGTGTAAACCAGCTGTGGCAAAATACATGATTGAATACTATGCAGCCATTACATGGACTGTAGATAATCTATGTACACCAGGATGGAAAGTATTTGTGATAAACAGAATAATAATTTTAAAAGTGACAGAATTGTTTGTCCCATTTGTGCTGGTTAAAACAGAAAAAGACTGGTCACTGAGACGCTTGTAATCCCAGCACTTTGGAGGCCATGGCAGAAGGATCCCTTGAGCCCAGGAGTTCAAGTCCAGGCTAGACAACATAGTGAGACCCTGTCTCCACAAGAAATAATAATAATAAAATCGGCTGAGCGTGGTGCTGCATGCCTCTAGTCCTAGCTGCTGGCTGAGGTGGAAGATCACATGAGCCCAGAAGGTCAAGGCTATGGTGAGCTGTGATCATGCCTCTGTACTCCAGTCTGGGGTACAGAGTAGGGACCCTCCTCCCAAAATAAATAAATAATCAGAAAATATGATCTCATAGGAAAATACCTTGGAGATGAAGAACTGAGGTGTTTGTGGCTCTTCTCTGTGTGCTGAAAGGAAGAATAGAGGGAAAGACTTTTGCTGCAAGTCTCAGTGCTTTGGCTGCCTTTTGACGTACCTAATGCCATGCTTCTTTTCTTTCCATAGTGTCATAGCCTTCAGAAAGGCCAACAAAGTGGGCATCTTCATCAAAGTTACTCCACAGCGTGAGGAGGGCGAAGTGACCGTGTGCTTCAAGATGAAGCATGACTTTAAAAACCTGGCAGCCCCCATCCGCCCCATCGAGGAAAGTGACCAGGGCACAGAGGTCATCTGGCTCACCCAGCATGTGGAACTCAGCTTGGGCCCACTTCTTCCCTAAAAGGTCCCACCGGTGGGCAGGTCCCAAGGACAGTGACACCATAAACCTGCGTTAAAACGCAGAAGCCACTGCTTCATTAGGCCTTGTTTATCACGATGTACCCATGCACTACCAAGTCCTGTTCCTAGGAAAGTGGGGGCGCAGGCCAGGCAGTAGGAGCACAAGGTAACTGGTGCTCCTCTTGCGCTCACCTCTGTTGACACTAGGAAGTCCATGTCTCCCTCACTGAGCCCTGCACGTTGAGTAACAACAGCGTCCTTCCATCCTAGAAGAGGGGATGGCTGTTCCTTGGAGTGGTGTTAGACTTACCACCTGAGAAACTCTGTACCACCCCTCAGTCTGATCTCACAGAGGCTCACTGTCTCCCAGATGAAACTTATTACTAAAATGATAACCCAAAGGTGGACCTGCTGTTAATGACCAGCATTGGTCCCAGTTTACCAACTGCTTCACGCATCCCCTTCAGTGTAACCTAGCAGTCTAAAACACATCCCTTCACTTGCCTTCTGGCTGCCCTTTTGCTGTAGATTTCCACTTAACAGAAAGAATTGTTATGTTGTCTTTAGTTTTGTGATGATTGGAAAAACCTGTGAAATTCTTAAGACACTCTCATTTGCTCTCTTCTGAGTGAATACAGGGCACTTATTAGTTGCTCTTAAGTTTTTTCCCAGTAGGATATGGAACTTTTAAGACTCTGAGAAGCAAATAATTACATGGCATGTCAAGGCGTAGCAAACTCCTTTCATTCTAAATATTGCCACCGTCTGCAGGGATTGATGCTTCCACAGGGGGGCGATCTTTGTCTGTCTTACTCCGTATTCCTTCTCCTCTGCTCTGCCTCTTTAACTCTATAAGTTGTTCTGAGTGTCTGGGACTTGGAGAGAGTCCACAGGAAATCCCAGTGAACAAGTTCACTTCTCAGATGCAGAAAGCATTTTAAAGGTTAGATTTTTAGCGTGATCTGAACTCACATTCTTTCCACTGATCTGAAAGGGAAATTCACTATTATCTCCTGAATCCAAAACTGGTGATATTAAGGAAAAGAACTTTTCCCCTTAATAAGTTTAAGAATTTTGTCATATGGTGGGTCAGATAAGACCACTGATCGTAAACATCAGACGGTTCAGCAGGTGGCCCAAAATGCTGGCCTGAAGCAGACAGGCTGCTTTCACTTGGTATCCTTAATTTCTGTGCTGTTTTCTAAAGCAAGATACAGTAGACCACCAGCTGCCCATGCTTTCTATAACAGTACTGTTACTAAGGGGCCAAGAGACTTTTGAGGAAAAGAGAGATTGTCTGTTTACCCTGCTCTCATTTTCAATGTTAATAAGTATTTCGTGGGACATAGCCCTTGTAAGCTCCTCTTGAAAGGTGAAAATGTTTAAAAGACACTGAAGTGTACTCTTAAGGTCAAGCCAGTTTATGAACCAATATTCCCACAGAGTAATATACGTGCTACAGTGTAAGAAAGAAAAATCCCCATCTCTCAGGTTCTGGCAATAGGTTTAGCTTCCTAGGAGTTGGGGCAGGGAGATGGGTCTTTACACACTTGCAGACTAGAGAGTGAGTTGACTTTTTTGACCCCACAGAGTGTCACATTTTTATTTCACAATCTGCTAGAGCTGCTGTGAAACCACCGCTCTAGACCCACCAGTGGAGGAAGTGGACAGAGGGTAGCTTTGTACATTTACACATTTGCATAACTGCACACAGCTGTAGACCATTTGTTTATGGCATGCAGCTGGTATTTGTCCCAAAAGTAATGATGTTGAAGTAATTAATGGGTGTCATCATTCCCACATGACATGGAAACACAAAAACACTTTGGATCATAGAACTGTTTTTTCTTCAGAGGCCAAATTAACTTAGAGAGTAACAGAGCCATTGGTGTAGTAGGTCTTCTCAAATAGGTTTTAGTGCAAGCTGGAATTCCTTGTGTTCATAGAAGTGGTTCGACACCTGCAGCTGGTGAATTAGGAATTATATTTGTTGCCTTGTTGTATGTTAGATCAGGTGTGAGAATGTTCACACTAGTCAGTGTGCACCACCACAAGAGACTTGGACGCTGTTAGCACTTGGAACTACAGTTTTGGAAACTTGTGGCCAAGTTCATTTGGATTTGTGACTTGATTTACCCACTAAAATTTTCTTTTGAAGTGCTTATCAGCATAATGAGCTACATGTCATAAATATTTGTGAAGAAACATCCTTTTTGGTCCCTTTGGGAATGAGAGACACTCCTTGATCTTATGAATGACAGGTTACTGTTTGCCTTATTGCTTAACTTAATGTAGTGAAATAAAACAGACAGAGCTTGAGTGTGTCTTGTGTTTGGCTCATGAAGTCTGGCTCAGAGCCAGGGGACGGTGGAGTTGAGAGTTGGTATGAGTTGGTGGGGCGTGCTCCCTTCTTCCATCTCTTCAAGTGAACAAATCTAAAGCCACATCTCAGTAATTCACTAACGTAAACATAAATGTCGCTTTGAGCTCCCCAGATACATGTTCTCAAAACCATTCTATAAATGCCGTTAGACTCCACTAGTTTGTATCCTGGGTCACTGCTTCTGAAATATGCAAAGTGGTCTCACCTCCACCAATGGCCACTCATCCCCCTCCCTCTGCCCCTCGTCACTCCACTCCCATGAATGTAGACAGACTACTCACCCTCCTCCTGTCTAAAGCCATCCCCATCTCTTAGGACTCAGCCCCATTGTCTTCCCTGGTCAGACACTGCATCTGCAGTTTTCCCTCCCATCAGCAATGGTGTAATAGGTTTTCTCAAATAGGTTTTAGTGCAAGCTGGAATTCTTTGTGTTCATAGAAGTGGTTCGACACCTGCAGCTGGTGAATTAGGAATTATATTTGTTGCCTTGTATGTTAGATCAGGTGTGAGAATGTTCACACTAGTCAGTGGGTACCACCACGAGACTTGGACGACGTTAGCACTTGGTACTACCATTTTGGAAACTTGTGTGATTTCTCTCGTCTCAGAAATGGCCTCACACCCCACCTCAGCTGCCACTCCATTTCTCTGCTGCCTTTACAGCTAACACTACTTTCCAGTTCTTCCTTCCATTCTCACCTGGCCCGTTCCAGTTAGGCTGTCACCGCCTGATCAAACTGTTCTTGTCAAGGTCACCAGCAGTCACCACACTTAAATACAAGGTCGTCTTGGTTCTTAACTCTAATTTTTCAGTAGCACCTGACAGTTGCTCTCTTCCTTGTTGAAAGACTGCTTGGTTTCTAGAACACAACACTCCTGGTCTTGAGATGGATCAGGGACCCCTCTTAGGGGTCTGTACTCCCCTCCCCTCAAAGTATGGAGATCAAGGAAAATCTTGAGTTTCTTCAAGAGAAATTCCAGGCACCAAGCCAGCCTTGAGAAGTGAGCAACTTGGTAAGCAAAAAGGTAATAGTAGATCAAAACAGTACCCAAGGAAGTTAGAGTCCGGAGTTGTTTTATTCCCTATAGAAACTAAAAACAGCATACGTCCCTGAGTTGTTTTTCAGAAACCTGGACCCCCACCAACAAGTCCACTGGCACACAGACCCCAGACAAGTGGGAGCTGAGAAATGAACTGTGATCTTTGTTAATAAAGTCTTCCTGAGGAGCCTAGAGGAGGGCAGGCTACCGGCCAGAGCTGACATTCTTTCTGCAGATCCCAAATTTGTAGACAAAGCTTCACCACCTTGACCAATTGCAAATGAGAAAATCTTTGAATCCACTTCTCCCCTGCCTCTCTTCCAGATGTCCCATCTCCTTGGTCAAACCAATGTACAGCATCCGTGTATTGATTCATGACCGCCTGCAGATTCTGTGTCCCATCTCAAGCTCTCACCTGTGAGCCATCTGGGAGTTGGGGTCTTAAGCATGAGCTACCAGGTCCTTTCTTCAATAAATGCCTCACTTTCGCTGCTACCCCCACTCAGTGTGTTTGGCTTTGCCACTCCAGGACAGCAGACCCAGTTCAATTCCATAAGCTTTCCGTCCACCTTACTGAAGTGGTCTGTGGAATGCACAGCTGATCTCTCAGGCCGCCAGTAAGAGTCAAGAGGCAGGGAACTGGGAAGGAGGCTTATTTTTGAATTTGGAATCAGGGAGACAAGCCAGTATAGACACCAAGGCCAGCTCAGCTCCTCAGATTCTACAGTCCATATTTATTGTCACAAGTGTTAAGTTTTGCTATAGATTAACATTGAGCTATGACATTTCAGTACGCTCTGTGACATCTGTATTCCATTACTCTGACGTTCATTGCCTGTACATTTCTGTATCAACCCAAGTTTCATGCCTTCGTTATTAAAGACAAAGGAATGCTTTCCAGAGTTTAGTAACTTTTTAACAGGTTACACAGTGTACATGGGAAACAGCAGGTTAGCTGCTTTTTTTTTTTTTTTTTTTTTTGAGTTGGAGTCTCTCTCTGTCACCCAGACTGGAGTGCAGTGGCCGGCTCCCACGATCCTTCTGCCTCAGCCTTCCAAGTAGCTAAACTATAGGTGCATGCTACCATGCCCGGCTAACTTTTTGATTTATTGTAGCGATGAGGTCTCACCAAGTTGCCCAGGAGGGTCTCAAACTTGTGGGCTCAGGCAATCCACTCACCTTAGCCTCCCAAAGCGCAAGATTACGGGCTGAGCCACCGAGCCCAGCTTTGCTTCTTTACCATTGTAAAAAAAACTATGAGTCATTGAAAACAAAATCAGTGAACACTAGAATAGGTGTTGGCTTAAAACAAATCAGGCCTAAGACTACTTGTTAATTATTACCTTGGGTTTTGCAGGAAGCTGAATTTATATTTTTAGTAGCCAAAGTTTCTAATTCATAATTACATTGACAATGTGAAGGTTACAAATTATCCTTCTAATTTTAACTAACAAATACCTATAAATACCTATTGTGCCTATCAGAAATTCCTACAGACTACATGTAGAATCTCTCCAAGCTAATGCCTGCCATTCTTTAGACCAGCAAAGGATTTGAACTGGGGGTCTTCCTTATCATTACTAGAAGCTCTTCTTCAGTATTTGCTAGTTCCTTCCCAGCTTTGTAATCTTGCAGTGTACCAAGGTACATTTCTTACCCTTCGTTTCTCTATATGCTTATTCTTGCAATGATCTCACCCAGAGTTCTGGGGCAAGAATGCCGAGACAGGATCTTACAAGGGACTGAGGCCTGATCAGAGCAAGAGACCTCCTTGCCTCTACCCCACTACCCAGCCCAGCAGGCGCTATCAGTTGCTGGGGGAGGGACAAGGGCACAGGAGACTGACCACTGCTGTGCAGGCATGCAAGACACTGAGCTACGGATGAAGTGTGAACTCTTGAATAGAGTTCCTCAGCCCCAAGCTAAAGCACAGAGCAATGCCAGAGGACATGAAATCTGGTGCACTGAAGGCAAGCCACAAAATCCAAACCCAGCTCACCTCCTGACTAGGTTGACCAGACCCCACACAGATGGCCTGACAGAAAAGGCTTGTCCATTTGCAAATACGAGTTCAATCCACCTTCTACTGTTACATAAGCAATGACTGGCATGCAGTTAAAACAGACACACAAGCAAAAACACACAACCCGTTTCTCACAAAGCAATCTACAGGACCATTTACAGAAATAACCCAGATGTTCAAACTAATGGGCAGAAACAGCATGTTGTTGGCGCTCAAAACGATACCCCCAAATTAAGGCCTTGGCAGCAGACTCTGACCTTTTGCCCTCCTCTCTCTGGCCCCTCATTCCTCCCTAGGCTAGCCATAGAAACTAGAATTTGTCTTCCTCAAGGCGAGTCAGAAACCAGACCCCTCTTCCCAAAGCCAGCCATAAAACCTAAAACTGAGTCCAACTTCTCCTCTGGCTTTCTGTGTAAAAACTGTCCGTAAAGAAATTCTCTGAGCTGTCTCTGCTTGACTGTAGGTCATAAGTCCTCCCATTCCGGAGAGGGTCCTGCCCCACACCCAAGAGTAACGAATGCTGCCCAGAAAGGCCACGAAGAATCTAAATAAACAGGCCTTGGTGGGTTTCCCACTCAGCCTGTTAGCACTAGATCACACCCTTTGTGTCCAATCATATTTCTATACAGCTGCCCATACTGTGTTGAGCCTAAGCATAATAATGGAGTTTCCCCCATACCTTTGGGTCTTCATTCTGAAGTTTCCTGTGTCACATAAAACTGATCAAGTAAATGTGTATGCCTTATCTCCTATTAATCTGCCTTTTGTCAGTTGACTTTCACTAAATCTTCTGAGGGTGAAGGGGAAGTTCTCCCTTGGTGCTTACAAATGTTAAAGAATCTAGTTGAAAATGTGGGTAATATGTATGAAGAGATTTCAGCAGAAAGGTAGAAACTGTAAGAATGAGACAAGCTGAATCAGAAATGAATATCTTCAATGAGCTCAACAGTAGACTTGCCATAGAGGAAGCAATCAGGAAACTTGGGAGATGAGTCAGCAGAAGTTACTCTAAAGAGTAACTGAAACCTAAAGAGAAAAAGAGTGAAACCACAACAGAGTATTCAGGAACTCTGGAACAATACCAAGCGGTCCAGCATGTGAAACTGGAATCACAGATGGAGAAGAAACTGGGCAGAAGACTATGTGAAGAGATGATACTTGAGAATGTTCAAAGTATAATGTAATATTGTATAATAAAAAACAACAAATCACAAATCTGAGAAGATAGGATAAACCCAAGAACTGTCATATAGATCCATAAATGCCTGCCATCTGATCAAATCATCCCATGCAAAGATATTTACCAAAGGAAAATTAAAACCTGTGTCCTTACAACAACCTGCTTGTGAACGTTTATAATGTTTTTATTTATATCCACTAAAATTTGGAAACAATCCAAATGTCCAACAACTGGCCATGGGGTTTATGGTATATCATTCATACAATGGAATTCTACTCAGTAACAAAAAGGAACAAATTATGGGTACATGTAACAATATGGATGAATCTCAACTAAAGTATACTAAGTGAAAGGAATCAGACACAAAAGGCTACACACGGAATTCCATTTGTAAGACATTCAGGAAACGGCAAAACCAGGGACAGGACACAAATTAGTGACTGCCATTAATGAGTATGGGGCAAGTGGATTGACTACAGAAGTAAGGGAATTTGGGGGGGATGATGATTCTATATTTGCTTGTGGTGACTCTGAACAAATTTAAAACTGTACAACTAAAAATTTTCACGGTATGTAAATTTGCTTTAAATAACCCCGATTTTTTTCTTCTTAAAAAAACAGGTCAAAGAAATGTAGTAGGCAGTTTGATACGTAGAGTCAAATGTGAAATACCACAATGGCCTGAAATTCATAAATAGTGGCAGAGTGGCTATGAGTTCCAACAATCCAATAACAATGCATGTGTTGATCTAAAAGACCCTTTTCAATTCAGAAGTTGGAAAAACAGTCCCAAAGGCTTTGAATGTGTAGCTCCCCCACTTCTCAGCTCCACATCCAGGCGCAGAACAGGTTGCTTAATATCTCTAGACCTCAGTTTCCTTTTCTAAAAAGAGGGGTCTATCGAACTGCCTAGAGGTAGGGTTGCTCGACAAAAACAGACGCCCGTTTGAATGTGAATTTCAACGAATCCCAATTTAGTATTAAGTATGTGCCAAACATAGTGATACTTAAACGCTTAGCTGTTGGTCTGAAGTGCAACTTCAACTAGACGTCCCGTAACTTTTATTTTTAATTTTTTGCTAAATCTGGCAACTCGGCAGGGAGGTTACCGTGAGAATTCAACGAGGCTGGCGCCGCTAGTCGTTCGCCAGCGCTGGGCGTCAGTGCTCCGTGTTTTCATCCCAGCCCCTCATTCATACCTGTTCCTTTATCCCTTCGCCCACTTTTTTGATCAAACAACCGCCTTGTGGCCCTCCCTCCCAAGCAGGAACGAACTCCGAGTACGCGCGAGGCTGAGTGCCCCACGCCCGCACCCGGTCAGCGAAGTTCCAGGAGCGAGTGACGTTATGACGCAGGACCCCGCCCCGGAAGAGGCTCTGGGCGCGCAAATGGGACGTCACCAGGCCGGCGCTGCCCCGAGGCTCGACGGGATCGTGGCGGTCTCCTGTCCCGACTCGGAATCTCCCGCGGCCTCCGGACGCTCCCAAGATGGCGACCTCGCTGGGTTCCAACACCTACAACAGGCAGAACTGGGAGGATGCGGTGAGTGCGCCCGCCGGAGGAGCCGGAGGAGGCGGCGAGGCCAGACAGCGGGCGGGGGCAGACCTTGGGCTGCGGCGCGGCCGAAGGAGCTGCGGGGAGGAGCCCGCCCCGTGGCCGAGCTCGACTGGAGGCCAGAGGGCGATCCTCCCGCGGGCTGGAGGGAGGGAGTTCAGACGCGGCCCCGGGACCAGCCACCTTTCCATCCCTGGCGCTCTGACCTTTTCGGGCGGATTTCTTTTTTCCTGCCGTTCGCCGGAAGTGGGGACCGTACCCCCTCCCGCGACCGGGCGGTGCTGGACCGCGGGCTCCCACCCCATCCGTCCCCCACCCTCGCCCCGTTCCCCGCCGCCCCCACCAGTGTGGCCGAGTGGCAGGGTCTTCAGAGCGTGGTCCTCAATCAGATTTCCTGTTTTCACCAGGATTTCCCCATTCTGTGTCAGACGTGTCTTGGAGAAAACCCTTACATCCGAATGGTGAGTGATCGCGTGTGGAACGGGAATTATTGTTCATGGCCTGTCCTGTTGTGGTCCCTGCACACGGTCGGTGACGTGCTTCTCTTAGACAAGGAGAAGAAATGATGCTCTTGTACTAGCCCAAAGTGCTGGACAACCTGAAAAGGACTCTCATGCTCGTTCTCTGCCTTAGGAATTCAGTAATAATGCAGTAATACAGGTTTTGTAATGAGAGCTAATAATTGTTGAGTATTTACCTGGGAAGTAGATCTGTTGACTAGTGACAGTTTATGTCTCTTCGTATAGTAAGGAGTGGAGCTGGGATTTAAGTTCAGATACTCTGGTTCCAGGAATCTTAGCAAGTTAGGAGGAGAACCAGTACTAGAAACTAGGCTCCCTGACTCCTTGTCAAATGCCCTTTGGCCAGTGTACCTTGTCTCTTTAGTGTAAGGTAACCCCATCCTTATCAAAATGGGTAAGATGAGCAACAGTTAACAATAATTGGATGACCAGGCACAGTGGCTCATGCCAGTAATCCTAGCACTTTGGGAGGCCAAGGAGGGAGGATTGCATGAGCCCAGAAGTTGGAGACCACCCTGGGTATTCTAGTGAGACCCCCCTGTCTCTTTCCCAAAACACCGAAAGATTAGCCATGCATGGTGGCATATACCTGTGGTCCCAGCTATTCAGGAGGCTGAGACTGGAGGGTTACTTGAGCCCAGGAGCTTGAGGCTGCAGTGAGCCATGATCATGTCACTATACTTCAGCCTGGGTGACAGAGTGAGACCCTGATTTTAAAAATTGAGTTAAGGCTGAATTATTGTGATCATTCTTGGAGACATTGATATGTTGGTGTGTTCTCAAGATGTTTGAGTAGCTTATGGGGAAAGAACATCTGCTCTATACAAGGCATCAGCACAGTGCAAGACTACAGTGCAAAACTTCTGCCTAAACTTTATACAATGGGCTGGCGATAGAACTATGGAAGCTACGGGAGATTTTACTTCTTGGGAGCAAACTTGGAAGCCAAAAATGAACCTAAGCATTGTGGCTGTGGAAAGACACCCACCTACCTAGTATTAAATCCATAGGCTCTTGAGATGTTATAACTCATAATATGCCATTAGAATACAGAGTCTTGTGGGGTTTTGCTTCCTCTTTAGGATGTCAGACATCTCCAGACACATTTCTTGGGTTTTATTTAGGGAAAGAGTAGACAACTGGTTGTTTTCTTTCTGTAACTCCAGTTCTTTTCTTTTTGTTCTACTGCAGACCAAAGAAAAGTATGGGAAGGAATGCAAAGTAAGTTTGTTAAAGAGTAATGACTTCATTTTATTTTCTTTTTCCCTACCAAATTAGCCTTCAACTTACTGAGTTTTGAGGTTCTCCAATAAAAGTCAATGCTATGCAGCTTTCATATATCATTGATGTATTCATTGACTGGTAACTATTTAATGTGGGAGTAAGAAAATGAACCCTCTTATGTAGAGATTTTTTTCATGGTGTCTGTGGACAGGCACTGAATAAGTTTGTATACCAGGTGTTGTATGACTATGCACATGACCATTTTAGGTGAGGAGGAAGGTCATAGCTGTCATAAGATTTTCTAAGGATTATATGATGCACCCCATACCCCCCAAAACAGATTGTTAATGGTAGTTACATCTAGGGTGGGGGAACTTTGACGTTTTGAATATTTCATTTCAGTACTATGCGGACTTTTTACGACTGGGAAGGGGTAATGAAAATTGGATTGAAACATCAGATGGTGTTTGGACTAGATGGTTGCTAAGGTCTCTTCCAAACCCGAGATTCAGGGATCCTTTCTTGAATCCTTCATCGTTATTAGATCTCCTAGGCTGATGGTCCAGATCAGGACCATGAACACTCTGGCGCTTATCTGTGTTCCAGATCTGTGCCAGACCATTCACAGTGTTTCGCTGGTGCCCTGGAGTCCGCATGCGTTTCAAGAAGACTGAAGTGTGCCAGACCTGCAGTAAATTGAAGAATGTCTGTCAGACCTGCCTCTTAGACTTGGAGTATGGTAAGCTTGCCCTGTTCAATAGATCTGAAAGTATGCGGGTTTTGTATCCTGCTTCTTACGCTGTCGTTGGTTCTGAACCCACTTGGGAATGTCAGCTGTGGTCTGCTTTTCCCAGGAAGAGAATCATAATTAGACCACTCAAGAGTCCTCTTGAACAACAGTAAGAACTTAAGGAAAAGTCACGAATTAATTAGAACTGGCCCAAACTTTTATCTCTGTAGCCAAGATGAGGTAAAAGGCATTCATCCTATGATAGGCATTTGCTTTACCTTGGGCTTCTTTCTTGATCCAGAGCTTTTTTCCACAATCCCAGCCAGAAGCTGGTAAGCTCATTGCTTTAGCCTTTTTTTCTTAACTGTGCTCTTAGGGCTGATACATTCTGTTGCTACTGTTTCAGAGTAACTGCTTTCGGGAGTAGCTTTTTAAAAAAAAAAAAAACTGTAGGGGACTTTTTGTTTGTTGAGAAAAGAAATTTACCAACAAAAGTTTCTACTATGCAATAAAATAAAAGAGAAAAGGGAAATATAAGAGTTTATATATGTCAAGTTCATTAACATTACCCTGCTAGTTAGAGTCCTAGCCACATATTATATCATATTTATATGTTTGTTAAGGAGGCATTCTGGTTCTGGAATACAATGGCCCTTACATGACTGACTAGACAAAGGATCTGTAGAACCAGCCTAAAAATAAACCACCTTTTACATTCATTGTAAATAAATCGCGTTGCAATTAAAACTGGATACATTAATTTGCAGGTTACATCTGACTGTAACCAATGTTTATTTAAACTAAAAGATTATGTAAAACATTCCTTTCATCAAATTTCATGACAGCTGAGGAATTTGGACAGTTTCTTAGTGTGCTATGTAGTGGTATTAGTCTGATAATGCTGAAGAGTTTGAGTAAAAATATAGTAAAGTGTCTAGCACCAAATAGGAGAACAGAGAAGAAAAAGGTGGCATGCTCTGGTGCATATTCAGTATGGCCATATTCTTAGACCCATCTGATGATTTCTCCCTCCTTTCCTTTGTGCCAGGCCTGCCCATCCAGGTTCGTGATGCAGGGCTGTCTTTTAAAGATGACATGCCCAAATCAGATGTCAACAAAGAATACTACACACAGAATATGGAGCGAGAGGTATGCTGCCACTTTTTTGGTTAAAAACCTGGTGAACTGACACAGTCTATAATTTGTCTTTTGAATTTGTCACCCCCATGTAGATCTCTAACTCTGATGGAACACGGCCAGTCGGCATGCTGGGGAAGGCCACATCCACCAGTGACATGCTGCTCAAGCTGGCCCGGACTACACCCTACTACAAAAGGAATCGGCCCCACATTTGCTCCTTCTGGGTGAAAGGGGAGTGCAAGCGAGGAGAGGAGTGTCCGTACAGGCAAGGCCTCAGCCTCGTTTTCAGTGTTGGCTTCAGATGATCAATCATCTAAGAAATGGGAGGCGCCAGCCTAAATGGCTTCTGCTTTAAGATCTAAAGCTCGTACAACTAGTATGGTGTGTCCCATGTCTTAGAGCTAGTACATTTAGAAGAACCTGATTAAACTGTAGTTTTTGCTTATAACTGAGCCTTGGGAAACTAAATTGCTGTGCCATATGATATAGATGCTCACCCTAACGGTTTCTTTCTTTCTTTTTTTTTTTTTTCCTTTTGATTTGGAGTCTCACTCTGTCGCCCAGACTGGAGTGCAGTGGCCGCTCCCGGCCACCGCAGCCTCGACCTGCTGGGCTCCGGCGATCCTTCCGCCTCAGCCTTCCAAGTAGCTGGAACTACAGGCGCGCGCTACCACGCCTGGCTGATTTTTTTGATTTATTGTAGAGATGAGGTCTCGCCAAGTTGCCCAGGTGGGTCTCAAACCCATGGGCTCAGGCAATTCACTCACCTCGGCCTCCCAAAGCGCGGGATTACAGGCTGAGCCACTGAGCCCGGCTGACCCTAACGATTTCTACCTGAGAAGTGAGTCCTCACAGTCATGGTGTAAGTGCCTTGACTCTCAATGTGTAGTTGATGTCAAAATAAGGCCAGATATCTAAAGGGTGTGTGAGTGTGTTTCAGTTAAGGCTGCTAAGTATCTGGATTAGGAGGTTTGTTTTTTTCCTCTTAAGAATATTTATTTTCAAATTTATTTTTTGTTGAGGTAAAATATGCATATATAATTTACTATCTTTACCCTTTTTTAAGTGTACAAAAAAGTGATATATGTATATTAATATATTTTAGAGTTGTGGGATACTACAAGTGAGGATTTGCTACATAAGTAGGTTGCAGACAGGTGAAGTTTGGGCTTCTAGCTGGCCCCCTGACCCCTTGGTAGTGGACCCACACGGTGTGTTGCCACATACCCCCTTCCCTCAATTAGGAGTTTTTAACCTTGAGGGTTGGTTAACCTTACCCCTCAAAAAATAGTGCATGCCCTTTTTCTGGGGCTAAGTTTATAACTTTAATCTGATTCTCAGTGGAACACAAGACCTCAGATGTGTTAGGAACTGTTGATATATGAGTAACCATATATCCCCTTTTGTTTTGGGTGGGTCGTGCCTAAAGTATTTCCTTGTAAGTAAAGTTTGGCACCCTAGATGGCTTGATGGCTTTTAGGAGACCAAGAAGGCCTTGTGTGATAGACTAAGTCCCTTGGTATTAGCTCTGTTTTCATAATGATATAGTGGTCTGGTCATGGTTTCTGGTTCAAAAGATATTTCAGAGTATGTATCTGAGACTTAAATATGTAGCTACTGTTGGACGATACTGATGTTTTGTTTGTTTGTTTCACCTTTATGCATTGTCTTTTCTTGAATCGTAGACATGAGAAGCCCACAGATCCTGATGACCCCCTTGCTGATCAGAATATTAAAGACCGATATTATGGAATCAATGACCCTGTGGCTGATAAGCTTCTGAAGCGGGCCTCAACAATGCCTCGTCTGGATCCCCCAGAGGATAAGACTATCACCACACTGTATGTCGGTGGTCTGGGGGACACCATTACTGAGACAGATTTAAGGTTTGTGGGTATAGTTTTAAGAGTTCTTCTTTCTTTTAACTGCCCCAGAGTAATTTCTTTGCAAAAACATAGGCAAGCATGATAATTCTGAACAAAATACATTCTTCTTTAGTCTCTATAGTTAGTATTGTGCTGACTAGAATTTTTATAAAGTTCTTTATGATGCCAGAGGAGTAATGTTCATCAAGAGTACTTTTTCAGCTGGATATGATGACTCATCCCTGTAATCTCAGCTCTTTGGGAGGCTGAGGCCGGAGGATCACTTGAAGCCAGGAGTTCAAGGCCAGCCTGGGCAACTTAGCAAGACCCTCTTGTCTCTATACAGTGTTTTTTTGTTTTGTTTTGTTTTTAAAGAGTGCTTATCCATCCTTGCATATGATAATGATGACATGGGATTATATTTGACCTAATAGCCAGTGAAAAATGTTAAAGAATGGCATGCATCCAAGTTTGATTAACTATGCAGGGGGAAGGAGAGCTTTGTGATTATGCAATTCTATGGTTTAAATTGCTGGCTTGTTAAAGAGAATGGTATTTGTATTGTACACTTGTATTATTTTGGGCTTATATTATGCTTGGTTAGATGAGACATCTGGCAGATAGCAATGGAAATTACCTCTTCCAAAGATGTGAAGTGGAAAAAAATGCTTGTATCTTTTTAATGCCCTTGGTAGCCATCTCTGAACCCATCGAGTGAGCCAGCAAGTCCCCAGGTCTTGGCAGACTTTTTCTATAACAGGCTCAGTAGTTAATATTTTAGGCATTGTGGGCCACATGTAGTCTCTGTCACACAGTTTTTGTCTTTTTTTTTTTTTACAACCTTACAAACTGTTTTTAAACTTTTTTGGCTCATGGGCCTTGAGACCTATAGTCTGCCATTCTTCTCTAGGGTTTAGGGCTTAGGGTCCCTGAGGAACCTATTGGAGCCCCTTTCCTCCATGGGAAACACCTGAGATGTTCGAGAACCTTTATTTACTTGTTATTTTTCTTCTTCTCTCAATAAGCAGACCCACAGTAGGGCTACATGTGGGGTGTGCCTGCCGGTAGTGATACTACGGACAACATAGAGCCTCCCTGGCTAGCAGTGAGGCAGGGGAGTCAACACGTCCATTCCCGTCCCCTGGAATGTCTGTGTTGACTCTTTGTCTTTTTCTGCCGGCCTCCCTTAGAAATCACTTCTACCAGTTCGGAGAGATCCGGACCATCACGGTGGTGCAGCGACAGCAGTGTGCCTTCATCCAGTTTGCCACGAGGCAGGCTGCAGAGGTGGCTGCCGAGAAGTCCTTCAACAAACTGATCGTCAATGGCCGCAGGCTCAACGTGAAATGGGGAAGGTGGGAATCGGACTATTTCTGAGGAACTTGATTGAGATTTTCAAGAAATTGTTTCATCATCTGCATACTAGTAAGCTTTTAGTCAGCAGGCTCAAGCCAACAGGATCTTTAGAGAGATCTTTGAAACGATCATTCTCTATCTGATCCTTGATTCCTACAGATGTTGGGAGAACTGAGCTCTGGAAATGTATTTCAGGGTTTGGTGTAATGATCTCCTTTGAAGGTTCCTATTTTTGTGACCAGCTATTGTAGACCAAGTACTAATGTCAGGGCATGAAAGGTGGACTTGAGGGTTTACAGATGAATGAGGCGACGATTCTGCTTTTAGAGACTGCTGGTCTTGTGGAGAAGATAAAACAGAAGAAGAGCTATTTTCAGTCTGAAGGTGACAGCTGTATAAGAGGGACATAGGTGAAATGCGCACTTCAAAGGGGAGCATGTTTCCAGCTTGGACCAGGAAGGAGAAGCCTGACAGCAGCCTCTCTCTTTGTGGGGAGCTTTCTGCGTGAAGGGCACCGTGCCCAACATGTGTGCACTGCCTCTAGTTTTTACAGCAGTTCTAGCAAATTCTGAACCCAGGTCTTTCTAACACGGGCCCTCTGCTCTTATTCACTGCATTGGGGCATTTTTGGGAAGAGAATATGTGAAGGGGCGGGGAAGGAAGGAGCTCAGTGACTGGGCCGGTGAGGCAAGGCAGGACAGAGTGTGACTCCTGTGTGCCTGTCCCCCAGATCCCAGGCGGCCAGAGGAAAAGAGAAGGAGAAGGATGGAACCACAGACTCTGGGATCAAGCTGGAGCCGGTTCCAGGACTGCCGGGAGGTGAGTGTAGCCTCCTGCTGATGTGGGCAGCTCCGTGGGCTCTGATGTTCTCGTTTTAGAGCTGGGACCAGCTCTGGCTCCTGAAGCCAGCTGCTTGTTCCCTCCAACCCTCCGGGGGCCTCGGAGGATGTAATGGTGGTGGAAACAATGTTGCACACTCGTCTTCCCCACTAAGTGTTGGCTTCTTTCTTTCTTCCTTCCAGCTCTCCCTCCTCCCCCTGCTGCGGAAGAAGAAGCCTCTGCCAACTACTTCAACCTACCCCCAAGTGGTCCACCAGCCGTGGTGAACATTGCCCTGCCACCGCCCCCTGGCATCGCCCCACCCCCACCCCCAGGTAACGGCCATCTTCCTTCTTAGCCCCGAGGCATCCTGTGAAGTTTATCTCACACCTCACCCTCCCGTCTGACACATCTCAATCCTCTGAGTTCCCGTGTGGACATCTTCAAGGAAAGCTGATCTGTTGGGATTCCCGTTTCACTTCTTTCTGGCCTGCCAAGGAGAAGAAAGCTGCCAGGGTTCTAAGGGTCTGAGTGTGTGTGATCAGAGGAGGAGTCCCTGGTGCAGTGATCTGCCGCCGGTTTGTGCCCTGTTCTGAACCAAATCCTACCCGGTGGCCTAGCACACTGTTGCTCAAGGGTGGGCTGTGAATGTCATTTCACAAAAATTTCCCTTTTATTGCCTGCCTGCCAGAAGATAGGGAGCTTGTGCCAGAATGTAGATCAGTGAACCACTTCCTTCGTGAAGAAAGTCTTGTTACAGAAAAACTGCCAGATGAGCGAAACAGGGAGCTTGATCATGTCATCGAGTCGCATTTTGGCACAAGCTCTTTTGGCGCAAGCTTTTCTGCTCTGTTGGTGGCCAGTGATAAACACATCAGGGACTGGCATTTCGTGTAGCATTACTCTGGAATGGCAGGCCAGTGTGAGCAGTGGAAGGAGATCACGGGTGCCCATCCGAGGAGAGTCTGGCATCAGAACACCTGCATTTTGGTATCAGGCATCGAGGTTAATGATGACAGGGCCTGCTATCAGCCTGATTTCTCATCTCCCAATCCTCAAGTGGATCCTATCTGGTAGGATTTGGCATGCTGTAGAGGTTCAGACAACCCATCAGCAGATACCTCGAGTCCTAAGGAGTCTTTAGACTTAGGGGAAAGGTTTCTAAACCAAGGAAGTAACACAGGTGGACATCTCCAAGCAAGTCTTGTGAACTGACATTTATGTAAGCCCCACGTCAGCCTTGATCTATGTGTAGGTGGCAGGGACCTTTGATTCCAGGCTTGCAAGGTTGTCAAGGGAACTGCACGCTTAACTGATTTGTTCTCTCCCATCTCCAGGTTTTGGGCCCCACATGTTCCACCCGATGGGACCACCCCCTCCTTTCATGAGGGCACCAGGACCAATCCACTACCCTTCCCAGGACCCTCAGAGGATGGGAGCACATGCTGGCAAGCACAGCAGCCCCTAGCACACCAGCACGCCGGCATCTGGAAGAAAGGGCACTTGAGCATCCCTGTACCTCTCGGAATAAGTCTATTTCCTTCCCTTGTAGTTTCCACGGTAGCTGAATGTGTTCAGATGTGGGCAGTCGGAGGCCGACGGCCATGCCTTCCTCCACTTACTGCAAGGACCAGTGAACTCAAATGAGCTGCCGTTCACACATCTGGTTACTGCTCTAACATGACTAATCAAACCTGTGCCTGTTCCTCCCACCTGGATGGGGACACACGGATGAGTGCATTGGAATGTCCACGGAGTCACCCTCCCATGTGTATGTTTATTTTGTATCTTTTCTGGGCGGGGGAAAAATTGACCTGCAGCAAAATACGCCCTTTGACCATTTTTATGTCCACTGGACATTTTCTTTTTTATCATCTAAAAAAAAGATTACTAGTACTAATCATCGTAGTGGCCTAAGTGTGATCGAACTCCTGTGAGTCACACCTTCAGAAAGACAAGTAGAAACCAGCACAGCCCAGCTCCTTTCCTTCCCATGGATTCCTAGGGGAATCTGACGGATGGTTCTACTTTCGCCACCAAAAAAAGACAAAAATAGCTTTTCCTTCCTGTCAGTTGGATGGAAACACAGATTTCATGGGACTGAACCCTTGAAGAAACCTCGTTTCTGGGATGAGAATATTTTAAAGAACTTCTGGTAAAACATTTTATTTCCCAACTGAAATGAGCAACGTTGGCACGTGTCTGGGGGGAAGATTCAGTGCCCAGCAGGAAGGCACATCCTCAGCCTTCGCCTTGGGCATCTTCAGTGTCTTGTGATTCCCTGCTTCTGTTTGGTCTTAGGATGTATGGATAGACTGAATTGTAGGTGGCAAAGGAAATTTGATGTTATGTTGGGGTTTTTTTGTTTGTTTGTTTTTAAAGAATTAAAACGGGTCAATTTTCCAAATGTTGTCGTGGACTTATTTCTAAATTTTTCTTTATCCTTTGGTAATTGAAATTGAGTCAGTGGAATCTAGAAACAAATTACATGTTAATATGAATTCTTAAAATCTTGCTTGAGACTTTTGATTTTATCTATATCCATTCCATGATGCTAAAAAGTTCCAAGCCTCTTTAGTATTTATTTCAAAGGTTCATTGTAAGGTTGAAGTGAGATAACACACAGAAAACACTTAGCACAGATTCTGGCACATGGTGGTTGATGAACAGTAACTTTAAAAAGCCACCCAACTAGGCATGGTGGATCAGGCCTGTAGTCCCAGCTCCATGGGAGGCTGATGCGAGAGGATCACTTGGGACCAAGAGTTTGAGCCTGCAGTGATCTATGATCACACCACTACACTTCAGCCTGGGAAACAGAGCAAGACCCTGTCTCTAAAAAAATTAAGAAGTCATCCTTAAGCAAGCCATTTTAAAAGGAAACAGGCAAAATGTATCATAAATCTATTTTTCCTGAAGCCAATTTTATGTCTTCTAAAATGTGTACTGCCAGGGTAGCCGTGTCCCAAACAATACCATTTTAGATTTCTTGGAGGTTTTTTTTCTCTAGAGAACTTCATCTGCCTTTTATTTTTTTAAGATTTGAAAATTAATCTAGGCCAGTTGTGGTGGCTTAGCCTGTAATCCCACCACTTTGGGAGGCTGAGCCAAGAGGATTGCCTGAGCCTGGGGGTTCGAGACCAGCCTGGGCAACTTAGTGAGACCTCATCTCTACAATAAAAATTTTAAAATAAGCCAGGTGTGGTAGTGTGTGCCTGCAGTTCTGGCTACTTGGAAGGCTGAGGCAGAAGGATCGCCTGAGCCCATCAGGTTGAGGCTGCAGTGGCCGTGAGCGTGCCACTGCACTCCAGCCTGGCGACGGGGTGAGACTCCAACTCAAAAAAATAAAAGGAAGAAGAAAGGGAAAAAAAATTAATCTAGAAGCACTTAGAATTTTTTTTTTTTTTTTGATTCAGAGTCTCCGTCATCCAGGCTGGAGTGCGATGGCACACTCAGGGATATAGCAGCCTTAACCTGTCGCGCTCAGGCGAACCTTCTGCCTCAGCCTTCCAAGTAGCTGGGACTCCTGGCCAATTGTTTTAATTTATTGTAGAGACAAGGTCTCACAATGTTGCCTAGGCTGATCTTGAACTCTTGGACTCAGGTAATCTTCTTGCCTCCACCCCCCCAAAGTGCTGGGATCACAGGCACGAGCCACTGCCCAGCTGAAAATTTCATTGTTTGCTAGTAATATCAAATGTGAAGCAATGTAGAGTACTTCAAGTATTTTTGCATTCTTTGGGGTTTTTTAAATTTTTAAATTTTTTTTACCTACTTGAGCAGGTAAATTTTTTTACCTACTTGAGCAGGTAAAGGATCTTCAGCCAATATGTGGATGAGATGTGAATCTTATGTGTAGCATTTTAATAACTGCTAGATTCAATGATTCATAGCTACGTGTATACAGCATATATAAATACATGAGTATCCAATAGCATATTCTAGCTTTTTGGGGAAGACATTCCAATTTTGTGCAATATCTGGCTATGGGTTTTCTTAAGCCAGAATAAACTGAAGTATAAGATTGGTACTCAATTTGTGTTTCTTAAATAAATTAGAATTGTGAGCAATTCGATTTTAGCAAAAACTTACATGTTTACCAAATTCCCTATCTTTCTGTAAGGGCACAGCTGGGCGCACTCAGTGAAAAGGAACTTTTACCGTTCTTAGACCTGGCCTGTAAAGACATCCTCCCCCAGGGGAGTGATCCCTGGAAGATGGCAGAGGCACACCACGGAAGGAGCCCAGGTTCCTCTGTCACCACGTGGAGGACAGCATTGAACTCATAAAGCCATTGAGGTCTGGTCATTCACTTACCTGTTAGAGCAACCGGTGTTACTCCAGTATAGATGTCCTCAAATCTGATAGCCAAAAGAAAAAAACTACTTTTGTCTATACAGTGGGTTTATACTGAGGAATGGTGTTTTGTAACACTCTAGGCTTGAGCCAGATAGCCTGAGTTCAAGTCTTCACCTCAGCATCTCCAGCTGTGTGACCTTGGGCGTGTCCTTAACCTCTGTCTAGCTGACAAATGCTTCAGCTCCCTTTTTGCTGCCTGTAGTGTCTCGAGCTGCCCCCCCAACACACACACACAGGAAAGGTTCAGCGGGAAAAGCATCATGACAACTGGATGAAGGTAATGACTGCCGTGGGGAAAAGAGGGAGAGAGGACATGTTTTGGAAACCAAGTCCACGAGCAACTGTGACCTGAAATAGAGAGGTGAACCAAGAGTCTAGGGTGCCCCCAGCCCCAGGTCTCTGACCTGATCGGTTGGGAGGAAGGACGCCTCTTCCTGAAATGGAGAGTGCTGCAAAAGAGTGGGACTGGGAAGCTGGAATAGGAACTACAAGTCACCTATGGGATTTGGCGGGTTGAAGGTACCTGTGAGACAGGCCAGCGGAAATGCCCAGCCCAGAGGGAAATGGAGCTTCAGAGAGTGTAAGACCTGCACGGGCCATGAAGTGGTGGCAGCCCTGGATGTGCAGTGAAATTCTCCGGGGCAGGGACGTCGGGCAGTCCTTGAACTTCAGTGAGTAAGTTCTTCACTTACATCGGGTTTTATGTGTTGATGAGGCGAAGGCCGTCTTTGAGAAATACTAGTTAGGATGAGATTGCTTCTAAGATTAGAAAATGTTACCCTCCCCAGAGAGTCCGTGGTCTTTATTTTCCCCTAACACTTGATTGTAAAAATGTTCTACAGAAAAGTTAGAATTTTACTGTGAACCACCATATACCCACCCACAAGAAACAATTCTACAAGAAACAATCTGCCATATTTATTTATCACATATCTATCCATTTCTCCATGCATCCACCAGTCTATTTTTCATACATATCAGAGTAAGTTGAAGACACTAATACATTTCACCTGGAAACATTTAAATATATGCTTTTCATTTTATGATAGGATTACATCCTGATAAATTGAAAAGAACATTAAGTCAAAAATACACTTGAGGCCAGGTTCGCTGGCTCAGCCTGTAATCCCAGCGCTTTGGGAGGCCGAGGTGAGTGGATTGCCTGAGTCCGCGGGTTCGAGACCCGCCCAGGCAACTTGGCAAGAGCTCATCTCTACAATAAATCAAAAATTAGCTGGGCGTGGTGGTGCACACCTGTAGTTCCAGCTATTTGGAAGGCTGAGGTGGAAGGATTGCCAGAGCCCAGCAGGATGAGGCTGCGGTGGCCGGGAGCAGCCATTGCACTCCAGTCTGGGCGAGAGTGAGACTCCAACTCAAAAAAAAAAAATACATTTGATACACCTAACCCTTCGAACATTAGCCTAGCCTACCTTAAACATACTCAGGTCACTTACATTAGCCTACAGGTGGGCAACATTGTTGAACACAAAGCCTAATATATAATAAAGTGCTGAATGTCTCAGGTAATTTATTGAATACTGTACTGAAAGTGAAAAACAATGGTAACATGGCTTTTGCAACATCATAAAGTCAAAAAATCCTAAATTGAACCATTGTAGGTTGGGGACCATCTGTATCAGCTACAGTTCAATATTGTTCATAGATGTATTTAGGCAAGATCTGCATAAACTAAAATGTACAGATCTTGAGTATGTCATTCAAGAATTACTGGTTTTTCTTCAGCCAAATTTAGCAGTGGGGGGGTTGTATGTCAACTATAGTGACACTAAACTAATGCTGATAAGTTCTGACAACCCACTGTCATCAGACCAGCCTCAAGCGTTGGCAGATGTGTACATCCATGTGACTCAAATCCCTGTGAAGACGTAGGATGTCACCGGCACTCCAGAAAAATTCCTCCTGCTCTTCCCAGCCAACACCCATTTCCCCCAGTTTCCAGAGGCAACTACTGTTCTGATTTTTGTTACCACAGCCTTGTGTTTCTTGTTTTAGAACTTGAGATAAATGGACTCATACAGCATGAGCGCCTTCATATTTGGCTTCTTTCTGATGCATGTTGTTGAGAATCATCCATGATATTGTGTACAGCATTTTTTGAGGTTAGTGGAGAGCTTCTTAATATTTATTTGTCTGGCCGGGTGAAGTGGCTCAAACCTGTAATCCCAGACTTTGGGAGACAGAGGCGGGAGGATCGCCTGAGTCCAGGGGTTGGAGACCAGCCTGGGCAACTTGGCAAGACCTTGTCTCTACACTAAATCAAAAAACTTAGCCGAGTGTGGTGGCATGCACCTGTGGTTCCAGCTACTTGGAAGGCTAAGGTGGAAGAATCACCTGAACCCAGCAGGTCAAGGGTACAGTGGCTGGGAGAGTGCCACTGCACTCCAGCCTAGGTGACAGAGTGAGACTCCTACTAAAAAAAAAACTGTCTTAAAGTCAATTTAAGCTGGGTGCAGTGGTTCATGCCTGTAATCCCAACACTTCAGGAGGCAGAGGCAAGAGGATTGCCTAAGACCATGGATTTGAGTCCTTGAGACCCGCCTGGGCAACTAGGCAAGACCTCATCTTTACAATAAATCAAAAAATTAGCCAGGCATGGTGGCGCATGCCTGCAGTTCCAACTACTTGGAAGGCTGAGGTGGAAGGATAGCCTGAGCTCAGCAGGTCGAGGCTGCAGTGGCCGTGAGCGTGCCACTGCACTCCAGCCTGGGCAACAGAGACTCTGACTCAAAAAACAAAAAAACAAAAATGAAAGTCAATTTGTTTTGCTGTTATACCTTGAAGAGATGTCTCCATCCTTGCTAGCAAGTATTGCTGAGTGCTGGCCTCTCCCTTTTTGTCTCCGTATCTTGAACCTTCTCTCTCACATTCCTCACCCCTTTACTGCCTGCAATGCATCTTGGGCTCTTGAGTTCACTGATTCTCTCTTCAGGTATGGCAGATCTACCATTACTCTGTCCATTAACTTTTTAAAGGAAGGATTATTTTGATAAAACAGACACACAGCCGAGCTTGGTGGCTCAGTTCTGTAATCCCAGGACTTTGGGAGGCCAAGGTGAGTGGATTGCCTGAGCCCACGGGTTTGAGACCAACCCGGGCAACTTGGAGAGACCTTGTCTCTATAATCAATCAAAAGTTAGCTGGGTGTGGTAGTGCACACTTGTAGTTCTAGCTACTTGGAAGGCTGAGGTGGAAGGATTGCTGGAGCCCAGCGGGTCGACGCTGGGGTGACCGTGAGCGAACCACTGCTCTCTAGCCTGGGCGACAGAGTGAGACTCCAACTCAAAAAACCCCCCCAAAAACAGACACACACACACAGAAAAGTAGAACACACAGATACACAACTAGCTTAAATATTTTAAAATGAATGTCTATGTAACAATAGGTCTAGAAATAGAATTTTTCCACTTACCCAGAAGCATTTTATGTGCCCCTTCATATGCACAAGCCTATCCCTCCTCCCAAGGTTTCTACTATGTTCACTTCTATGTTAGAAATTCCCTTGTATCATAAACACACATGTATTTGTGCATGCATGTATGTGAATTTGCATGTGTGTGCCTGCACGTGCATGTATTTGTGCATGCGTGTATTTGCACGTGTGTTCGCACACACATGTGGGTGTATTTGCCTTCCTTTGCTTACCATTAGTTTCTGAGACGCATTCATGTTGTTGCGTGAAGCTGTGGCTCATTCATGTTCATTGTTGCTATGTCTGTCAGGTTCTCAACATTTTGGCTAATCTTTGTCTTTTTCATTTCCACATCACTGTATGGTTTCATTTGTCGAAAGAACAGGCCAAAGTATAGGGCTTTACAGGAAGGACTCATCAGGCTCCCAAGTTTCCTGAAAAGTTCATGGCCTACTTTTTCAGGATCCAACTTTTGCTTGTTGTTGAATAAAGCAGCAAGATACAGAACGACACAGAACATATAGTCGGATTCCATTGAAACACAGGCACACCTGTGTGTGTGCATCTCAACACTCGTACATGCTTCTCTAGTCAAACAATTCTGGATTCTAGAAGGACCAACTGTCTCCCGTGGTTACCTCTGGCAGGAAGGAACGGGGCGAAGGCAGGAGGGTGGGCAGCTGTGTGTGTCCATGGGAGGGAAATGTGGGGGGGCATGTCCATGTTTTATTGTTTGCTTATTAATCTGTATGTTTACACGAAGCATTCCTTTTTCCTTTGTATTTTTTCGGCATCAGCAGAAGCACATGATCAGAAGAAGCAAGGGTTGAGGACCAGCTCTGGGGGCTTGGGCTCCCAACCACGTCTGTTCCACACCCGGCAGCCTGGGTCACCTTCCAGAGCACAAAAGAACCAACCCAAAGCAACCCAGTCCTTTCTTCCACTCTGCAGACATGTCAGCCCAGTCTTCAGTTTATGGAAGCATGGCTTTCAACGAGTGCCCCCAGTTCAAGAGGACACACTGACCACAAGTAATTCTGAGAGTCAGGCTGCCGGCCCCTCGGACCCAGAGGGGAGGGGCACTCCAGAGCAGAGGGAGGTCCAACCACGAGCCCCTGCTCCCAGGGACCGTAGGACCCCTGACCTTTCCGTCTTTCCCAGAGAAGGAGGCAGGGGAGGTGGCGAGAGCCCTCACCACGAGAGGCTTTCCTTCGGGCTCTGCGCCCTCCCCAGCCCCTCGGCAAACTGCTTGTCAAGCTGCACCCCCACAAGAGCAGCTCCTCCTGCGGGAGCAGAAGCTGCAGGAATCTAACTCTTTATCATGAGCGAGCTGGCACTGTGCCCACGGCAGCCTCCAAAAGAAGCATCTATACCATCCACATGGTACAGATGGAGAAATGGAGGCTCGGCGGCAGGCTGGTGCAAGGTCACATCGCACAGCCAGCTGAGGCAGAGCTAGGACCATCCCACCCGGCCCAACTGCCCGCCTGCACTCAGTTTCTAGCCCTAGGGGGACGCCATGATGAGGGGGCTGCTGAGCGGGTGGGCACTGGCTGGACCACCCGCTGCAGGGAAGGGACAGCCATGAATCAGAGTCCCATTTGACTCTGCCCCTGGACGAGTCATGTCCTTCTTTTGAGCCTGGATATCCACATCTGTAAAATGGGGGCAATGACAGTTTTCTCTTGAGGCTAGAAATCAGATGTGTAGAGAAGCTACCACCAACCCAAGCACCGAGACACTTGAATAAAGCTGCCAGCACCACCACCACCATCATCGCCATCACTCAGACTAAGGGGTCTGCTCAGAATGGAGGCTGGAAAGGTGGTTTAAGAACCACTCCAAGTTGCACCTGTCCCGTAAGGGGCCTGTGGTGGCCTCTTCCCTGCAGCCCCCTGGCCTCATTCCTTGGAGACCTCCTGGCTTCCAGCATGACTCCTCTCTAATCCACCCACCCAATGACTAAGGACCCATCACTACCCCTGTCCCCATTTCCCTGGTAAAGCCCAGACCAGCCTGGCCCTCATGGCTCCCTCTCCCTTTTCCAGAACACTCCGTCGTGCTCAGTGCCACACCTCTGCACATGCTGGACCACTTTCCAGGAAAACCCTCCCCAGGCCACCCTCTCCTCTTCACTCCTTCTCCAAGGTCCCACTCAGATCTGAGAAGCTTCTGGAATCCCACCCCATACGCAGAGTTAGGGACCCCTCCTCTGCCCCATGACACCTTGTTCCTCAGCCGCCCCTGAGCATGCTTGGGGGAGTATTCAGATGCCACATGCTTTACAAGTCTGTCTTTCCGCTGCCGTGTCCTGGAGGCCTGGGCCTGGCACAGCGTCCGGCACAGTCAGTGCTGAGGACGTGTTTAGGACATGAACAGAGGAAAGCCAGCTGCATCTCAGTCAAAGGAAAAACTGCCTGATTATCAGGGTTTTGACAGGGAGATGGGCCACCAGTGAGCTCCCTGTCACCGGGTGGGAGTGTAAGCTGTGGGAGGGAGGAGCAGAGGCGTGGGTGTGGATTCCTAAAGATAGGCAGGTCACACTGGAGTCACCTGGAACACAAGTTGTGCACAGAGCCTCCAGGGCAGGAGATACCGATGCTCAAGTCTGGGACAGTCCAGAAACCTGCACCAGGAGCAGCATCTGTGGGAGACGTTGACCCACACCCACCTTTGGGGACTACTGAACTTTGAGGCCTCCAAGGCCAACTGCAATAAGGCTTTTCATAAACTGTGAAGTGCCGTCCACAAGTCTTGACTCCAGACGTTACCAGAACCCCGAGACTAGGGAGCTGATGATTCAGGCTGGGGCTACAGCTCCTCGGACTCTGGGAGGTGACGGACCCAGCCCTGGGCCACTCGGTTGAAGCTGGGTCTGAGGCGGAGGAGTTCCAGGCCACTGAGGGGCTCTGGGATGAAGGGGGTTCCTGCCCGGGGAAGGGAGTCCCCCACAAGAGGACCTCCAAATGGCACTGGGGTCCTGGAGAAAGAGAGCACAAGAGAGGTGGACCGTGTGGGCAAGTGGGAAAGGAACAGTAGGACACTGACATGTGGGTCACCACATGTGAGCCCACCCTCCCAGCTCCTCTTGGCCTCAGTTTCCCCTTCTTCTTTTTGTGTGTGTGTGGAAGTCTCACTCTGTCTCCCAGGCTGGAGTGCGGTGACACACTCATGGCCACTTCGACCTGCTGGCTCAGGTGATTCTTCCACCTCAGCGTTCCAAGGAGCTGGGACTACAGGCCTGTGCCACCCTGCCCGGCTAATTTTTTGATTTGTTGTAGAGACGAGGTCTCGCCAAGTTGCCCAGGCTGGTCTCGAACCCCTGGACTCAGGCAATCCTCTTGCCTTTGCCTCCCAGAGTGCTGGGATGGCAGGCGTGAGCCACCACACCCGGCTCAGTTTTCCCTTCTACACAGCAAGGTTCTATATAGTCTTGAACAGGCCTCTCCAGCTCCGTCCGTCCCCATCCTTGTCTGAGTGGGATGGCTTGTGGTTTAGTGACAGGAGTGAGACTATCAGTCCCAGCAGAGCTCTGGCACCCTCAAACTCCGGAGGTAGCTGGAAGCAGGGCCTTCCTTTCCTCCTCACCTTACCTTGGCACTAAAGACCCACAGACTGGAGACAGCAGAGGACTCGAAGGAACTCTGAGAATCAGAGAAACGCGAACTCCAACCGAGCCAGCCAGTTCTCCCCCACGGGGATGGCACAGTGAGGCCATTTGAAATGGGGCAGGTGGTGAGGTGGTGACGCAGTGTCACTCATGCGCTGTGGTCAGAGGGCGAATTGTGCCGCTGCCCTGGGGGACAACTCGGCAGGACCTTTCTAGCCTAGAAATGTGTGAACTCCCACCACAGCTTCACCTCTGAGCACGTGACTGAGGACAGCACAGGCACACGAGCACCAGGGGGCAGCACATAAGTGACACAAGCAAGCCACGTGTCCAGGGCAGACGGGCCATGTTCACACCACGGGAAACGATCCCTCAGCTCAAAAAGGAAGCTACTAGGCCGGGCGTAGGTGGTTCATGCCGGTAATCCCAGCACTCTGGGAGGCCAAGGTGGGAGGATTGCCTCAGCCTGGGAGCTTGAGACCAACCTGGGCAACATGGCAAGATCTCGTCTCTGTAAAAAATCAAAAAATTAGCTGGGCATGGTGGCTGGCGTGAGCCTGTAATCCTAGCTACTTGGGAAGCTGAGGCAGAAGAATCGCCTGAGCCCAGGAGGTCAAGGCAGCGGTGAGCTGTGATCGTGCCACTGCCCTCCAGCCTGGGTGACAAAGTGAGACCCTGGCTCAAAAAAAAAAAAAAAAAAAAAGAGAGAGAGAAAGAAAGAAAGAAAGGAAGGAGCTAGATCTCTACACATGAGCATGGCAGATTTCAAAAGCATAATGTTGAGAGAAAAAGGCAAGTTACAGAATGAAATGCAAAGTATTAAAACCCAGACACAGGCCGGGCCTAGTGGCTCATGCCTATAATCCCAGCACTTTGGGAGGGTGAGGTGAGAGGATTGCCTGAGTCCACAGGTTCAAGACCAGCCTGGACAACTTGGTGAGATCTCATCTCTACAATAAAAAAGAATTAGGCAGCAGTGGTGGCACACATCTGTAGTTCCAGTTACTTGTAAGCCTGAAGAGGAAGGATCTCTTGAGACCAACAGGTCAAGGCTGTGGTGGCCCTGAGTGTGCCACTGCACTCCAGCCTGGGAGACAGAGTGAGACTCCAACTCAAAAAAAAAAAAAAAAACCCAGACACACAGATGCACAACAATGTCCCCACAGACCTGCAGCTGCCCACACAAAGCATTCTAAAACCACACAGGCCGGCATGCGACAGTGTCCCCTGTGTGAAAACAGCTGGGGTTACAGGGTGATGAATAGGCCCCCCCCCTTCATTTGTGGTTGCCTGCTTTTAAAAAGTGAATTTATGCCTGTAATTTTAATATGATTTTTTAATTTTAAGAAAAATAGAATGCACTGATTGTGTCATGTTTTGCCCACAGCCTGGGACCAGTGGGAAGAGGGTTGCTTGTCTCTGGGACAGAAAGGCAGACGTTGGCCAGGCCGGGGTTCCAGCCAGGAGAGTGTTTCTACCTGGACCACCCTGGCTTTGGCAGCAACAGCCAGGCCTCAAGAGAGCAGGCTGGGCGGGGTCCAAGCCGAGCAGGTCTCACAGCCTGGCCTGCCTGGGAACCCAGAGCCGTGGTTTCTGTGCCCATCTGGGCCACCAAAACCATAGTTTCTCTTCTCTGTGCCTCAGTGGCCCTTTCTGCCCCAGAAGTGGCCTGGACTTAGGGCTCCCTGAGGGACCCTTCTGCAGGTGAGCATGGGCCTGGAGGTGCGACCAGAGTCACCGGCCTGGAAGCTGCCTGCCAGGACTGAATGTCCGCCCACGGTCTAATTTTTTTTTTTTTTTTTTTTTTTTTGG